CATGGACATTGAGCACTGCACCTACACACACATTTTCTGATCCGACGTCACCACCAACAGTTTGCCGATAGCTTTCAGAAAATGTTTGCTTTCTGCTCCGTAACACAATTAAGAGGCAATTAATGTAACAAAACAGGGGCTAAGTCCCACCTGTTGGCAGCAAATAGTTAATTTATAGCATTCTAGATTAATGTTTGATATAAAAAAAAAATGCTGCTCTGAACTATCATTGGTATACCATTGAACCCTTGTTGTGTTCGAAAGCTGTTACCGTTCACGGTGTTCGCGGGTCAATTTTGACCCATGATTTATCTCAGTCCAAAACACACAAAACAAATGGGGAGGGAGGGGAGACCAGGTGCATGTTGCGAAAAATTATTGTTACAGTGGATGAAGGGGGCGGGGCTGGGGTGTCTAAAGTCAAAGATGAATCTTGATTGGGACAAATTTGACCTCGAGTCACCCAAAACAATTCGGCTGATCTCCCCAGACCCGAACACCAAATTATACACTTTTTTTTTTTTTAGAGACCTTCAGACTTGGCAAAAATGGTCCAAATCAGTTTTGTAGTGTTTATATAGCTGTTGTGGAGGATATCATGAAGCCTTGTTCCGATACAAAAAACTAGAGAGTAGTTATGATATAATTTGAACATGAAACGGGTCACGGGAGACCCGAACACAACATACTGTAAGGGTTAAGGTCAGTGGCTGGATAGAATAGTTTTAAAATAATGCATCAGGTAACAAAGTTATAGAAAGAGTTATTCAAAGAAGAAATGTTAGCTTTGTGTGTCTAGAGGAAAAGTTAGGCGTTCTACAAAGATTCATCATCTAGGAACCATTAATGTCGGAAACGTGTGTGATCTGAGGTGCTCACAGACACATTATCTAAAAGCAGAATTATTTCACATTAAACTTAAATACCTCTTCTCATGTTAAATGGGGGGAAGAAACTAATGGTATTTTTAGGGGCTTTGATGGGGTCATTAGCAGTTAGTGGATGTCAGTATTAGCTGGTAATATAAATGGCCTCATCGTATGACATGCCATTCCAAATAGCTCTTAATGTGGCCCTGATTAGCCCGAGTCAAGGACAGACAAACTTCATGCAATTTGTCCGGATAGGATCCGTTCATACATATTTTATAAGTATGAACTGATATTTATTATTCATAGCTTTCAGATAGATGAGTTCAATTGGTCTCGGTCCACGAGGCACTTGTTGGAGTGCCGGCCTTTGAACGGACATTTTCCTGTCCTTGAGGTAAAAAGTTAGAAGTTTCTCAACATGAGAATCAAGACGCACAGTGGGGTGTCGAGATAAGCAGACATTATTATTAGAATCTTTTGAACTGGTTTTGATATACGTTATGTTCAAGCAGCAACAACTGTGGATGAGTCTTAAAACCAATACTGAGGGTTAAAAAGCATATCAAAACGAAAAGGAGAAAATGGTTACATGCTTGGAATATAAAGCCTCGAGGAAATGGAAAACACATATCCTACCAGTGGAGGTTAATAGAGGACACACTTGAAGTGCTCTTTTGTATAATATCTGCACAGATCTAAAGGGTTTTAGAATGTCTAAGATCCTGACAATTGAGTAATGGGTCAGACACAGTGTATTGTATGTAATACTAGCCACTGGAGTGCAGACAGGTTGATTGAATATTTATACTGGACAAAGACAGTGATGTCCACTTTTGGTTCGTACACTGCTGTAACCAGGCCTCCTTTTGGAGACGAGACATTTTAAGACGGCCAATACTTAACAAAGACCTTTCATGAACTGAAAACACACAGACATATTCTAAATTCCAAGACAAAAACATGGAAAATAATTAAACCAGACAACACTGATAGCAACTTTGCAATCACAATGTAGCCAGGCCATTAAACAAACCCATTTTTTTTACTCTAAAAAGGGACAATTTTGTACTAAATTAACTCAATGCTCCTGTTGAAGAAGACTTCAAACTAGCAATTGAACTTGCTCTGCCCTCACTGTTTAACCTGAACCAATTCCTCAACATAGGGACAGGTGTATCGTCTTCTTTATTGAAATGTCAACCGAGTAAACTTTGTTTGGATGTTACACTTATGAGTATCACATTCCTACATACAAATGTATGCAGTATCTAAATATGCATGAAACCCATACAAACACGTCAAAAGTGATTAATAAAGAACAAAAGAAAATGGGTAATTTTCATACTTTGCATTTATTCTAATGTTAATTCTTATAAAGAAGATGTAAATTCTAAAGTTACATACAAACACAATGCAGCAATACGTTAAGCATTAAACAAAATGTCGTTTCAATAAGCTTAAACACTTGAAAGATAGTCATCCAGAACTTCTACACAACATCTAAATGACTGAAAATACTCACAAGCAAGCAATTGGCTTTCCATCAAACAACGGAAGAGGATGGAGGTCATTTTAAGTAAGTGAACTCTGGCGTTAATTGAACAGGTGAGGTTTACTTCCTGTTTACTGACTACCTGAAGCGTTCCTATTGGCTATTGCCATACAGCAGAAACAAACAGAAAAAACAACAGCACCGCCTGCTGGTGAGAATATGAAAGAATCTCTGCCAGCACAGAGACCAAAAACTCATTAGGAAAATGTTTACTGAAGTAAAAAATCAAGTGTTTTATTATAGACTTCTATACAAACTGACTTATTTTGTAACCAATGGAGTCGTTCCTGCTGGCCAATACAAATGATGCAGGTTTAAGCCACTTCCTCATTTCCCCTTTTATGCTTGATTACATTATAAGTGACAAAATAAGAAATACTGTTTTGATATTATTTGTCTAAACACACATACGCCCTAGTTATTCGATAGTGTTTCCTGATCATTCCTACCAGGGCTGCCTAACAGCCGTGCCAAAACAAAATGTGGGACAGTGCCAAACACAGAAATGTGGGGAATTATTTCGGGGCCAGGGGACAGCAGGATGAATGCCAAAGTGACTCCAGTCTAAAATGCAAATTACTTGTTGGCTGTTACCACGGCGTGACTTCAGCTTTGGAACATCACCTGCAACCACCTCTCTGGAGGGCCACTGTTCTGAAGGGCTTAGCATCTTAAACCCTCTAATTAAAACTAGAATCCCTCCACCAGGCTACATTGCACCCTCCTCATCCAAAAAGCAGATTATTGAGATTTGAATGGAGGAAATTGTACGTCCCACACCATCTGTGACTCGGGACTGGAGACAGAAGGAGAGAATGGAGTGTTTTTTTTCATACATGCATGTGAATCTGTGCTCTCCACAGAGAGACACATGCAGACAAAGACTCATAGAGGGGACTGTAAAAAATATTGAAAAGTAGGTTGAAATTAAAAAAAAACATTTCCTTTAAATTTACATTTATTTGATGCTAAGCAAATGCACAGAGCGGGATTTATTTCATATAACGTGTTAATTTGGTTTGACTATTCAAGCTGGCACCTTGCAGCTAATGTTAGCATAAGTGAGATATTTAAGGTGTGAAGATGAAGTGCTGGCTGCCACCCTGTCATCATTTAGTGCATATGGGTGAGAATAGTGTGAAAAATAACTACCGTGGCTTGACACACACTCTCACCACATAATCAAACATTGTCGGATACAGTCCTTCACTGATTTGGTTTAAATATATTAAAAAAATGTGTGTTACAATTGCAGACATGATTTAACCCCAAATATAATATATATTTTTAAGAACAAAGAGTACCAGAGTTGGAATAGATGCAGCAGGTTTTGATAGGATTTTCTTATCATGCCACATAAAGGCAGGTTATCATTCAGTAAATCTGACGATGAATTTTTAAAAAATCCCCAAATTTGTAAACTTACATTGGACGGTGAACATTTGTAAACATGTATTTCTCATAGCCTTGTTGGATGTTCATTTATACAAATGAATGAACCTTTTCATTTTTTTGTGTGCTATATTCAGAGCAGGGTTATGTTACAAATGTGTTTTTTTTTATCTGCAAATAAATCAGCCTGCAAGCCAAAACATTGCGAGTGCTGCTACATTTATATTTATATATGCACACACACATATTCAAGATGTCAACTTCTCTGCTGATTTATAGGATCAACATGATAAATACAATCTCTAATAGGCCTTATAAGTTCTTCACACAGCACCAATACCTCATAACAACTGGTTGATACTTCAAAAATCAAAGATGCATAACAACATGCATAAATTAAGAATATCTCATACTTTCATAATTGGTTTTAACTTGTGTTTTATTTGTTGTATAAAACAAAGTTGAATAAAGCAAAGTGCACCAGAACAGTTCATCCACAACAATCGACTTAATATCTGACATCAATTTGCCAATAAAACGCCAACATTACAGACAAACACGTTTTCATTAGTCCTGTCTGTGATCCAAATGAAGGCAAGACTCATCAATTTAAAAAAAGAATAAGAGAGAAACAGCTGCCACACCCACTGAGGGCCAAATAAATCACCATGATATCACATCACATGTCAACAGCACATTCTTATGTCGGCCCAGCTAGAGCAAAAAACAATGTTTCTACATTTAATTCCTAGGTAATTATTTTTGTTATTCTGCTTTATTTAGTCGTAGAGGAATCTTTGAAATATGGCAAGGCCTGAGTGTAATGCGACATTATTACCACCAATATCTAACTCAATGGGCCTAATGGCTGCACATTCCACAACACGCCTACATACAGTGGGAATAACTCCAGCTTCCCACTTACACACATATAATTCGTTATTTACACCCTATTTCCAATACAAGTTTCACACAGGAAAACAACATTGATTATCATATTAAATGAATAAATAATGAGAAATGCAGATTGCATAGGTCCCTGTGCCTTACTTTGTGTTATTACGCTGTGGTTCGTTTTTAGATTAAACCACCAAACAAACCACAAATAAATGTTGACGTGTCCCCACTTGTGTCTGCAAATGTGTGTGTGTGTGTGTGTGTGTGTGTGTGTGTGTGTGTGTGTGTGTGTGTGTGTGTGTGTGTGTGTGTGTGTGTGTGTGTGTGTGTGTGTGCCACAGCTATCCCCAGACAACGAACATTTAATTAGATTAAATAAGATTAATTGACTATCGTTCAACAGGAGGCAGCAAAAATAGGCACGCCCCCCAAAAATATCATTTCTAAATGTTTTTAGTCAACATCTCTATCGTTATTAATTATGGAAAGGTTTATTTAAGTCCTCCTGCACCTGGTAAAACTGGCCCCGGAGGTGGATGTCATACGGGTCCGCAGAGGAGCCCTGGCCGATGGAGCAGTACCGGAGGCCGTAGTGGCAGCTCCGGTAGTCCCCGGGCTCCTCGTGTTTCAGGGAGAAGATCCCGTTGAAGTTCATAGGAGGGCTGAGTGCCCCTGCATCGGGGGGGCTGTCCGGAGAGGGGCTGTCATACAGGGCAGGGCCGCAGAAAGACCGGGGAGGCCTGTCCGCCGAGCCGGAGCCCACCGCGTCAGGCCCGCGGGGGTGGTTATAGGACCCCGGGTACAAGGGGAAAGCCTCCCCGCCGGGCTCCGAGACGAAGCTGCGGGCGTTCAGCTGCAGACAGCCGGCCACCAGGTTAGTGGTGGGCTGGGAGAGACCCTTGCACAGAGTCTGCACGAAGGTGAGTAGGTCCGGCCTTTTCCCAATGCTCAGAGTCTCACTCAGGGCCCAGATGTAGTTCTTAGCAAGGCGGAGTGTATCTATTTTGGAGAGTTTCTGCGTGTTGGAGTAGCACGGAACTACTTTCCTGAGGCTGTCCAGCTCGCTGTTCAGGCTGTGCATGCGGTTTCTTTCCCGCGTATTTGCTTCAATGCGCCGCAGTCGGACCCGGTCCAGCCGTGCCTGGCTAAACTTCTTCTTATGAGACCCCCTTCTCCTCACACCTTGTTCCTCTTCGTCCTCCTCGCCACCGTGCCTCTCCTCCTCCTCTCCCCGGGACTCTAACGTGTCCTCCAGGGCTCTGCAGGGCTCTGCTTTAACACATTTGACATTTAATTGGTTGGTGGCCCAGCTGTTCCTGAAGGGGCTGCTGGTCTGGGTGGAGGGGGGCTCATCGAAAGTCAGCATGATCTCCTGCAGCACGTGAGTAAAATGTATATTACACATACAATTCAACTGTAGGCTACTGAATCCGGAAATATGAACATTTGCAGACATAATAAGCTTGCTAAACTGCATCATGTAGCCTATCTTGAAGAACTAACAAATAAACTACCATTATTCTTATTATATAAGCAGTACAGGTTATTAGTTGTTACTGTTGAAGTAGAAATCAGAGAAACTGTTTCACCAGCTTAAATCTAGAAACATGTCATAGCATATTACAAAGTACACAACAATAACATACCACATTATCATCAACCTTATCATTTCCACAAAAAACTGCAAAAATCCACGACAAGACAAATAAGAATTGTCATGCAGCTATACCAAGCATAATGAGCCCCTGTCTTTTTAATAGTAGCCTATTATTTATCCTAATAAGGCAAGTCAACTTCCTGCAAAAAAACCTACTAAATCTTAAATGTATTGACTTCCTGTCCGAGGATATGGACGAGCTTCTCACCCAGCTTTGGTGTTAGATTCCAGAGAGCATCTTCCTGAAGCTTCCAGAAGCTTAAACAGGCTTTCAGCAGCAGATATCAGTCCTCCTCCTCTCCTCTCCTCTCCTCTGTCTCTCTTCTTCTTCCAGCAGTAAAGACACTGATGCCATCTGCTGCTGACGTCACGGACAGGTTAGCTCCCCAGGGATGCTCTCTCTCTCTCTCTCTCTCTCTCTCTCTCTCTCTCTCTCTCTCTCTCTCTCTCTCTCTCTCTCTCTCTCTCTCTCTCTGTGTGACTCTATGTCTCTCACCCTCCTATGTTTGTATCTCTCTATCCCCAAAATGCCTCTCTCCCAGTGTTCCCAGTCTGACTGCAGTGCGGGGATTCGGTGCCAGTCTTACTCCCCGGGGACAGATTTGAGTTTCTAGATGAAAGTCTGAGCACACTGAGTCACATGATCTTGTGAAGTGATGATACTCGGGGATCTGTTCACACTAGTTTATTCTCATTTAATTAACTCACTGTGCTGTCAACATGCACACTCCGGCATTGTTCAGGCACAGCAAGAGGGTTCCTCAAAAGAAAGCACTCCAGACAGCCAAATTATTGTTAAATTGTCGAAAAAACTGAATTTTAAATGATTATTTTTGGTTTTTCTGCAGCAATGGCACCCATCTAGTTCTTTCAATATGCTTGCATCACATGCAATGTCATAGTAAAGCACCTAGTGTAGCATTGTATTTTAATTTTTAATTGTATTATCTGTCCACAAAACCTGCCTAACTTCTAGTTGATACATACCTTCCCCCCCCCCCCATGAAGCCTCAGCTGGCGCGGGTCTTTCTGGTCCAGTACACACACCAACATCTGATGAGTCAAACTCTTCCATCTCAAACTAATTACTTCACGGCAGTAATTGCAAATGCAAATATGCAAATTCATATTAATTAATTACTCTGTTAATTAGCTATGTGGCCATTTGGGATCAATAAATCATTGTGCGGCAGATAGGAGACAAAGAGGAGGCATCGTCCCATTTTGACCTAAAAAATGTAACATTCTTAAACACATGGCCGGCATATCCTAAAATAGCGGGTGAAAAAAAAGACCCCTGACTCGCTGTTAAAGAATGTTTGCAGTCCTGAGTGACTTCATTATCACATTCCCTGCTCCTAAACACAAAGTGATGCGATGCCAGTCTGTAAATGAGGATAGGAGCGTTCACACCCTGTGGCTGGGATTACACTTTCTGGTGTAAGTGGGGTGTTTTTAGTGAAACAAAATTAAATGATAATTAAGTGAATCATTCATTTCTGGAGCATCTCAGGCGCTGATAGACTACTTTAATGAGAAATACAAGTTACAGGACGTGTGATTACATTTCTAAGTATAAGACTTTTCAAATAAATGTGTAATTTGGAGCCTATTACGTGGAAATAGTGTTGTTTTCATAACCCTACAAAACGCTTGTACTTATTGATTGGCTGTGTAAAGCTATGAGCCACGATGGAGTCAGGTTAAGTCCTGCAATCTTATACCATCAAACCCCTGCTCCAAGGCCAATTTAATTGTGTAGATTTGAATCCCCCCCCACTTAACACCAGCCATTTTAACGGGATGCACATTTGGAACTGAAGCTTTGGGTAGATTCTTGCTCTTTGGATACAAATGCAACAACCGCTCAACCAGCACCAACGACATGTTGACGATAATTAGTGTGTAAAGAGCATTGCAATCACCTCTGACACACACACACACACACACACACACACACACACACACACACACACACACCATAATTTAGCTTTTTAATTTTTGTATGTCTTTGCATGAAGCACTATGTAGACTTCTCTGTTGTGTACTTAAGCTAAGTAATTAAGCATGCTCTATCTCCATCTTCCAGCGGGATGATGATTATTTTATTAAAAGTCGTGTTTTATAATGAAGCGGCTTAATGATCCGTGTCACACTGAGGGAGCGTGTGTGTGTGGGGAGAGCTCAGCATGGCAGTGCCACAGCTTGCTTTTACAGTAATGGCTAACCCTATGCCAACATTGAGTGCCAATGCAGGAAGTATACTGCTTTAGTGAGTGTCACTGAGGTCATGAGACAACCAGCCTCTTATTCTATAGTGATCTTCAGGGGAGACAAAGTAACATCTTCTAAAAAGGGGAAGTGTAAGGAAGTCCACACAATTCAACATACACTAAATGGTTGACCGTGGTGTCAAATAAAGAGCGTTAAAATGCAAACCCACTGATATCATAATGCCTAACCAAATCCTGAACCACATTTTAATTATCAAATCATTTTTCAAACAAACAGCCACACATGTAACGACCACATGGCGTCCACAGTGTTCTCCGAGTGGTTCTTTGTTGCGATTGGTTGGCCACTGGCACGGTCTTCCTGAGCCACAGATGATCCAAAAGGCCCATCTGGCAGCCCGCTCAGGGTGCTGATTAGTCATGGACTGGGCCCCCTGCACTCTGCCCACTCCCCTACTGACTCCTTTGGGTGCCATGCCACCCACAAGCAAGCTGTGCATATGGCCGCCTCCTCTCAAAAGCCTCCGGCCCCAGTGTGTAGCAGAGATGAAGTTCAGGGCCTGCATTTGTTTAAAAGAAAACAGCAATTTCATGAAAAATGTGCGTTTTATTCTGAGAAATTAAATGACAAGTGCATTTCAGACATTTTATGTTCAGGTGTGGCTTTTAATACTGAGGACCACAGAGGAGTAACACAGTAACACCTTTATCTATGTAAAATAGGACAATTATTTAAATATATTACTGTGTAGCTTGGGAAATTTCCCTATTAGGTATCCTACAGTCTTATCTTAACCTATACTTACTGTAAATGAGTCTTTTAAAGTAATCTTAACATACAGTTTATTTAATGAGAGTTTGGGCTGATGAATAAACTTTATATTTGTGTTGACATTAGTACAATTGCTTAGTTTTATCTCAATTCTCTGAAGTTGACAGCACTTTGTTTTGGATTTGAAAGGTTTTGTCGCCTCCTGGTGGTAGAAACAAATAGGACAGAGGTCGCACACAAGGACTGCTTTCACATACATAAACAAACACACACACTGGCTTCTCTTTTGTTCTGCTCATGTATTTCTTCTCATCTTAGTACACACAGTTTAGCTATTGAAAGAGGAACTATTTGCATTTTAAAGGCAGCCTATCAGCTCAGAGGCCTGAACAGTCATACAAAGTGTTGCTGATAGCTAACCTAACCTGAAACTCCAATCTTTTCATATGCTTCAAACTCCAAAGTTTTACAAAGTCTAAAGGTTTGCATCAATCAATCAATTTTGCTAAGCTGTTTTATATCAGGAATGTCAGAAATACGTGTGACAGTAAGCATACCTGTGTGACATCATAAAACCACAACGTTTGCATGATGTTATAAATATACATGCCGAACAAATGCTCTTGTCAGGGCTGGACAGAAAGGGTGTCATTGGGGCGGGAAAAAAGCAGTATGCAAATAACAAACACTGACAAGAAAAACAGTGACACCTTTAAAAATACATGACAAACTTGTGTAACTTGCTGCGTCCATTAGTTTGTATGCTACGCACATTATATTGAAAAGTACTAATAAAGGAACATGAAGAGTATTGTTTCCTCCTCTGGCCACAGGCAGGCAGAAGCAGATAAAAGTGGAGCAGGAAGGCATCAACAAGTCAGCCAGGATGTAATATTTCCTTGTAGGGCTGAGCAGTCTGACCAACTCATTTGCATGTCCCTCCTTTGCTCCGGCATGTTTACCATGTGGGACAGGAGCTGAATGAGAGCTGCATTTCTCTGCCTGTGAGTTCAGCTCTGCATCTTCACAAAGCGTCCTCTCTGCTGGGAACAACTCCACTGCTGCTGTCCGGGACAATGTGAAACCAGGAGATATACCTCCAATTCCACAGGTGTCCATGTTTCTCTGGTGTGTTTTTGTCCATCCTCTGCTTATTATTTGAGGAGCTGTTGATACTTCCATGGCGTCTGAAGGAGCTCTGGCCAAGAGGAGCAACCTGGCTGCTTCCAGGGTCCACTGGAGCAACATGGACCTCCCTGAGTTCACCCCGGACCAGGACCAGGACCAGGACCATCACGGTACGGACGCCATACAAATATTCTTTGTGAGCCAACAAAACCAGGTTGCAGGTTTAACCTTATTTACAATAAATAAAGTAAAGTTAACCTAAAAGAAAAGTTAGTTTTAATCATTTTCAAAATTGTGCTTTTATATATATTTTTTGAAATTGAACCCATGAAACTCTGAACTTTGTTTGAGTTAACAACAGTGAACATCAGGTTTGCTATTATTGTTGCACAGTGACACAATGTTTTGAGTGTGCAATATGGATAGTACTGGGATGGATAGAACATTGATAATTTTGAGAAAATTGGGTAAGACATCAAAAGCTGTAGCTGATTATATATATGGTTCTTTGAAATCCAGTGGTTTTAATAAAAGCATTAAAGTGGACCTATCATGCTATATTTGAATAATATAGTATAGGACCATACCTATATAAGGCATATTTATACTTTTTTTTTTTTTAAATACCAAACAGATCATGCATTTTAGCTGTTTAGAGTTGGCCCAATAGCCGTAGCGCCACCGTCCTGACGTCAGGACAGTGTTCAAATCTGGATCAGTTTTTATCAGATCCGTTGCAGCCCCTTTTTTAGAGATTTGGGTATGGAGGAAAATAGAGAGGGTTGTGTTTTCTGACACTTGATGAGTTCCCTGGAACACCGGGGACACATATTCATGTATAAAAGACGTACAAAAGTGCATTTTGCATGATAGGTCCCCTTTAAATAAAGAATTGTGGCAAGGATCTAGAAATTGACCAAAATGAGCTCCAGTTAATGATCATATATTGAATTGATGCACTACTTTAACAAAACTCTCATAGCCATGTCACATAAAGGACAACCACTATAGACTCTCCTTTTAGCAGTAACTAGTTATTTACAGACAATTATTTTACTTATTTACCAATGTAGTGCCTGAGCAGCTCTGAGGCTATCCGGCTCTTTATGTGTTTGCTATCAGTGGTTACTTGTCACCGGCATTATTATAATGTGTTGCATCATGTCAACCGCAGGAAATTCGAGCCAGGACAGTGTCAGGAAATGGCTCACCACCACAGAGTGAGTATTAACATGGGAATATAGGCTGCTGTAGTAATGTTCATGCTCCAATTGAATCATCTCTTCTGAACTGTGGAATACGCTTTTCCATTGGTTGCTTGTTCAGTTTCTGCTATGTGCTGTATTTGAAATATACCATATACATATTTGGGTGGTTACATTCCAGGAGCCAAACCATATGTTTATAAAGTACACCGCACACAATTATCATAATGTATTGCCCTCATAACGTGTGCGTATGTGTGTGTGATCTCAAGTGGTGGAAAGTAACAACGTTTATTAACTCAAGTACCAAACTTAAGTACTATTTTGACACCTGTGTACTTCACTTGAGTATTTCAATTGTTTGCTACTTTATACCTCTGCTCCACACCATTTTAGAGGCAATTCTTTTTACTCTTCCACATTTATTTACCACTCCTAGTTACTAGTTACATTTGATATGCTTATATGACATAATATCATATAAGAGTACTGTAATTCAATCTAAATACAAACCAGTATTTTAAAAAGTATACAATTGGCTCCACAGTGTCAAACTGCAACAGTAAAATGCTCTTACATGTATTTGTTGGTGATAAAATCAGGATTATATAATATTTTATGATAATTGAATACTGTGAAAAGAGCCAGTCTTCATAGTGAGCAACTTTACTTGTCATACTTTGAAAACATTTAGCTTATAATACTTCTGTATATTTACTTAACCCTCCTATTGTCTTCGTTTCCCCCCCCCTTACTTTGGTGTTCGCGGTCAAATTTGACCGGTCCTGTTTTAACTGCTATTACATTAACACAAAAACCATTAATCATCACCAAATTTCATTTAACACCCTTTCAAACTGTACATATTGTATCAGACTACTGGTATACATGAAAAACTGCAGTTAATATACAAAGAATAGACACTGAACATGTATTGCGTGTGCCAGGTGTGATCCATGTGGGGGGATGGGCACATAAGAGCGGGACATGTGTCAAATTGTTATATGTGTGTGTGTGTGTGTGTGTGTGTGTGTGTGTGTGTGTGTGTGTGTGTGTGTGTGTGTGTGTGTGTGTGCCAGGTGTGATTCACATGGGGGGATTGGGCACATAAGAGGGGGGGAACACATCTAGTGTGTGTGTATGTGTGTGTGTGTGTGTGTGTGTGTGTGTGTGTGTGTGTGTGTGTGTGTGTGTGTGTGTGTGTGTGTGTGTGTGTGTGTGTGTGTGTGTTTTATCTGATCCGGATGGTTACTAATTCCTTTTCTTTATGGCGGTCATTTTTGACCGGGAACACCATGGGTGTTACAAAGTTGACTAAATCATCCAAAATTCAATGAAAGTGGTGATCAGCAATTTTACACGTTCAAATGTCTACTGTGAAGGATATCATAAAGCCTTAATGCAATCGAATCTAAAACAAAAAAGTTATGATTGATGAAAGTAGTAAATCGGTCAGATTTGACCCGAAGACAACAGGAGGGGTAACATTTTGAATTCAGGACTTTTACTTGTATTTCAAGGAGTGTTTTAAGACCATAGTATTTCTACCTTTACTTAAGTAATCTGAGTGCTTCTTCCGACCCCGTGCTTTCTCAAACCTTGTCCCTCCTTCTAATAAAACGTGACCTGTGTTTGCAGGGAAGATGCAAAGCATGAGCCACTGCAGGAAGCTGCAGGTAAGACCAATGGAAATCCCTTTCTGCTTTCACAACAGGGAGGCGTCTGTCATCTTTATTCTGTGTCAACTTTATATCGTCTTCTTCCCTGTGTGATTCAGCGGCACATGATGGTGAGTAAATGTTTGCTTGGTTCGGATCACTTCTGTAGTAGTTTTAGTGAGTGCAGTGTGATGAGGTTAATCTTTAAGTGATGACTGGCTGGCTAAAAGTGTTATTATGTCACACGAGGCATTAGCGAGTGTGAGACAACGCAGACGAACAGTAGCTGACGTGCGGTATACAGCAGCTGTGCAGCAACAGATACATAACACTGGTTAATAGGATAAGTTCCTGCTGCTTGAGCGTTAGAAATGATAAGAGTTCTCCTTTTTAATCACATTTGTAATGCTCTTTTAAAAATGGTATTGTGTTAATACCCTCCTATCAGTTGGTAAGGAGTGTCTTACACTTCTCCTTTCCATAATGGTCCATTTAAAATGTTCTTAATAATGACAATACTGTGGTTGTGAAATCAAAGGCCTCACTTTAATGAATTTACAGTGTGGATTACCTAACTACACTCCCTCCCAACGGCCCCGAGGCCAGCCCATTCAAACAGCATGCAAATGGTGGTTGAGAAAACCATGGGAACGGCAAATTGCTCCTCATGCGTCTGCTGCCCCCCCCCCCCCCCCTCTCTCTCCGTCACCTTCAAGAAAAGCAGCGCTGCCTTGCTGTTGTTACTCAGGAGAACTCTGTCCACTGTATTGGGGCTGCTGGAGGTCTCAATAGCTCTGAGATTGGGATGTTAACGTCATCAGATCTGCAGATATTTGATCATTAGTCAAAGTGGTTTCACTCAAAGCCACACACTAACCTCACGGTGGCAGTAGAGGCTCCAACAGAAATCATTTTTGGACTGCTAAGAGCATAAATATAGTACTTTTTTTGCTGAAAAGCAGAAAACTGGGACCCAAAAAAAATCTTTCTCTCTACCCTTTCTGATAAATATTTGCTATGTGTCGCGGATTCCTTCCTTTGTTTCGTTCAAGCCACTTTAAAGACTTTATCAGTTGTGATGGTTTGTTTGGCTTCTGATGATGTGATGATTTTATGGGACTCGTGGTTAATTAAAACAAAATTATTTCCAGAGAATTAACAAAGAAAATAGCGCTCTACAATAGTCAAAACTCATGTGAAATGATAAACAAACTAACATCGTCGTTCTTTCTATAATTATATATAACGGTTAAAAACTCTGCAGCTTCTTCCACCCATATCTGTGTCTCTTAAAGGCTGGTGCCGTCTTTCACGATCCCTTGACTACAGAGGTCATAAATAGGTGACACTAATATTTGAACAAAAACACCGTCTTTAAGACTATTGTTTATGTCAATGCATAGCAACTAAAAAGATATATCCAGTCCTAAGCAGAGGTATTATTCTCCTCATTTGTCGAGCCCATGCTGCTGAACCACAACAGAAGTTTGTCTTCCGTCATACAGTATGTTCTGTTTCTCATGTCCTCCGTGTCCTCTCTCTCCGGCAGAGCCTCTGAAGAGGAGCCCCAGCAGTGACGATGACCTGGCCTTGGGGCTAGAAGGTAAACAGCCTCCCGCTCTGGACTTGTAAGGTGACATCTTCAGCAGGGAATCTTTACAGGCACACACACACTCATCCGTTTAGGAAAGCAAGCCGATGATTTATTTATGTGTGGATCCAACACCAACACACACAGAGGATAGCCAGAATCTCCTGTGTATTTACACTGAGGATGGTACTGTGGGTACACACAGGTCCAGACCTCTAAATGGATTGAATATTTTTCCTGAACTGTATATTGGACATTTAAGGGCAGGGCACACCAACTTCATTTGAGAAGTAGTTCATTATCCTCTTAAAATATGAAGCTGCCGGCTACGAGAGTAAAAACAAAACATGGAGAGGCAGCGTTTAGCTATTATGCCCCGACAATCTGGAACAAACTACCCAAATCGTGCACCTCTGCAAAAACTCGTACTATTTTTAAATCGAGACTGAAAACATATCTCTTTGACGCTGCTTTTAATTGAGCTGCTCATATTCGCACTACAGTATGCCATTTAAACATGTATTGTATACCTGTTGTGTTTATTTTATTATCTTTCCTTTTTAATGCCTGTTGTAAAATGCCATTATATAATGTGTTTTTACTGTATTTATTCCTAAAAAGTACTCAAGCAAGCACTTTGAATTGTCGCGTGCTGGAAAGTGCTATATAAATAAACTTGCCTTGCCTTGCCTTGCCTTACATAAAACAAATAATCACTTTTGAGATAATTGCTGATGCGTTTGCATGCATGGTCTATTGTAGCAGATGCAAGAAATGAGCTGGAGATGATAAATGTATTTAAATTCAAATTATTAACACTAAAAGTGCCTAATACCTTTGCATCTGTGTCAAAGCACACAATTTAAACCAGCTTTTTTTTTGAGGACTGCATTCTTGTTTTTGATTTGATTTCACATCCCTCACTTAAAGTCCTGCAGGTTGTCAGTCAGTCAGAGTAGGTCTCTGACATGATGATGTGTGCATTAAAGCAAAAGGTGCAGAAAGAGACAGACTACTTGGTTCTTGACATCATGCCAGTGTCAAATGGATTCTGGGATAGAGAGGCGGAGGCAACTGCCAAAACCCAAACACACAGTGGAGGAAAAGAGCAAAGAGGGGGGGGGGGGGGGGGGGGGGGGGGGGGGGGAGAGAGAGAGAGAAACACTTTCCTAATATAGCTCAAGGAGCCCTGACACCAGACCTGGACAGGATGTGCTGACTCTCAACCAGCTGAGAATCAAGGAGGCTGCCTTCTTGCTCTTACCGATGTCCCCTCTCTGTCATGTCCGGCCTCATGAGTCTGTCCTGATGACATGACTTCTCTCTCCTGCAGCGTCTCTATATGGTAGCCGGGGGGCGAGGACGGTCCAGGAGTTTCTGTGGTAAGGACCTCTCTCTTCTTCTTCTTCTTCTTCTTCTTCTTCTTCTTCTTCTTCTTCTTCTTCTTCTTCTTCTTCTTCATGTTGTTCTCATCTCCTGTCAGAAGTGCGTGCAGAGGGAGGCTGATCTCTATCACACTGGAATCCATGCTAACACTGTTTGAAATGTAACCTATATTTACTTCTTTATTGTTGGTGAAAAGATACTAAAACAGAGCTTCTTGGTTGATTTATATTCCAACAAAATAACTTTCTAAGTGACCAGCGCTGCAGTGTTAGCTCATGTAAGCACATTCCCCATCTGTTCCCTCTTCTAAATATCACTGAAAGCTATCTGCGACACTTCCTACGAAGCCCAGCTCGATCACCCTATATATAACATTCCTTCATAACACAATACAAAGGTTAACACGCCGTACAATCTAATACAAGTTTTGCTTATAGGGTCATGTTCAGTTCAGTGGTTTGCGTAAATTGTTGTTACATCTGATATTTGGTTAAGTCTTTACTTTGACTATTGTAAAATGCTTTCAATGTTATTGATACGTTTTAAAGCTTTATAACTCAAACCCCCTCTTAGGCAGACAAATGGACCACAAACTGGTTTCTACTGTCCAGAGACAGGATGGAACATATTAAACACATTATGAAGATAAACACTTTACATAACTTCACTTAAAGCAGACAGGGCGCTTCATAAAAGCATCACATATAATCTGCGTACAGAAGCACCATTATTCTGACACACCTGGTAACCTTGTTCAAAATAGGGAGAACACTTCAATAGCTGTTCCTGTAATGACTTTAAGATATGAGGAAGAGCTGTTTTTATTACCTATCTGATTACATAACTTTTTAGAATAAATAAATGCTCTTTGTTTGATTTGAACTCTTTGACTGACAGTTGTTGGTTCAGGCCGTGACAGCATCTTCTGGAGCTGAACAGAAAGTTAGACAGATACCTACAAGTCATATTTACCAGGCAAATAAGCTGCACTGCCCACACAGGTTTGCATAGAAAGCGAAAGCATCCGAGGAAAGTTATTACAATGCCCGAGCAGAAAATATGAATCAGCTGGAAGAGGGCAGAAGTATAAACGATCAAGCAACACATGTCACACAGGGTTATGATCGACACAGACCTGCAGCACAATGTGAGTACACACAGCTGATAGCCACTGCATGGCTGCTTTTTATTCTGTGATGTTTGGAAGAGCAGTATTCATTCAGATCTTACACATATGACCTATTTGACACACACTGTTTGTTCTTTCCTATTATTAGCTATCATTTATCAAGCCAGTGATTATCAAACAAGACCAGAAGTTAAGCTATACTACTTATGTTTACCTTGTGTTTGAACGGGGCATGGTTTTGTTACATGCGACACAGTTATAGTAAAACAAGAGAATTATAAATAATCTTACAGTATGATCTTATGAATGATTCCAGTGTCAAATGACAATGAGTGCTCGTAATGAGAAAACAAAAAAAAAGCCATTAATGGATTGAACAATGACTTAGTCCGTCTCTCAGTAGTTCTTCAATCTGAAAGTAAGTCATAACACAAATCACAAATATTACATTTCAAGACACATTTCCTAAAACAGCTGGTCGATGTAGTTTGATTGATCAATCATTACACAATAAGAGATGAATTCTGTATTCTTCGACATGTTAGGATATACAGTATATATAAATATTACATTTTTATGAAGAGCTAATTCATATTTTACAATTTGAAATATAACCTTTCTTTGTTTTGTACTTCCTCAGGTGGAGCCGGTCAAGTCCTTCCCTCAGCCGGTGGAACAGCATCAACTCAACAATCTCAGCTCACTCCGGACCACTCAGGTTGGTTGGACACACACACACACACACACACACACACACACACACACACACACACACACACACACACACACACACACACACACACACACACACACACACACACACACACACACACACACACACACACACACACACACACACACACACACACACACACACACACACACAATCATCATTGGATAATCTGACATGATGCAAAAAAAGGAGTCATTAGAGGCTTTGGTTATTTCCATATCTGGATCATTGCTGCATGGATTTGCTAGGGGGGGGGGGGGGGGGAGACGAGTCATGCATTTACCTTATATCCTGATTTCTGACACACATTCTGTCCTGATCATGGCTCCTTCTCCCTGTGGTCAGTGTGATGGACATCCTGAACCTGTGGAACGACGACCCGGAGGAGGTTCTGCTGGAGATGGGCTTTGGCTGCGACGAGCCCGACCTCTCCGGACGCATCCCGGCTCGATTCATCAACTACCAGTCTCAGGCCAAAGGGATAAACCTGCAGGTGTTTCTGGAGGCCCAGCAGAACCGGCTGGACCTGGAGAACCCAGACGTCAGCAGTAAGTCTGGATTGCAGCACCATGACCACCGGTACATGAATGTGAAGAATCATTCCTAACAAGTGATAACAAGATTTCCCCGTCTTCTCCCTCCAGATCGCTTCAGACAGCTCGAGGTTCTCCAGCAGGTGACCACAGCGTTCTCCTCCCTGGTGGGGCCTTCGTCCCCCCTCAGAGCCCCCCTGGGGAAAGCCCTGACTCCTGAGGCCCGGGAGAAGAGGCGGCACGTGGGCATGCTGTTCAGGCGAGCATCAAAGAAGTCACTCAGCCAAATCCACAACCAGAAGTCTCAGGACCTAACCACACCGGCTGCTGATCCACCTGAAGCTATGCAACCTCCATCCAGCCTTGGAGACAAGAAATCTGCCTTAAAAAGAGCCAAACCTGGACACCCAGAGGCCGTGTGTCTGAGTCCTCTGGCGGAGGAACAAGGACCCGGTCCGGACCCTAATATAGCTGCTTTCACAGTCCAGGAGGGAGCCCTCAGACACGGGCCCCTGACAGAAGGTCAACCCAGACCCCCAGCCAACGTTTTACTGAGGAAGAGGAGCACAGGACCGGCCAGGGAATCATTTGAAATGGAAGAGGCAAGTTGAACTGCAACTGCCACAGATCTCAAAGTGTATTAATTTCAACTCTAACAATAGTATCGTTTGTAGGTTTGCCTGTTGGATGTGAAGAGTTTCTTATTTTCTGACTACCCCGATTTTTTCTTTTACAATGATACACTTTGACTTACAAAAGCTCATATTTACCCTATTTAACACTAGAACCGCCAGAGATTTTTTATACCTAAAACCGCCACCTGGGTCAAATTGACCCGCTATTAGAATGCATTGATTTTCAAGGTAAAATGTTCTTTTATTGAACAGTGAGTTTTGATCGCACAGGGATGAAACGTATACCAATATAATCTGTGGACTCTCAGGGCTCGACATTATAAATGGCCCGCTAGCCCGGAAGCATTATTTAGACACCGCGGCCAGCATAACGTACTTTCAACTCGCCCCACAGCTGTTTGCTGCGGAGCGCAGCGCGAGCAGTCTCCCGTGAGCGGGAGCGCACTCCTTCACTACAGACTGTCTCTATCTCTCTCTCTCTCTCTCTATCTATAACTATCTATCAATATATCTATCCATCTATCTCTCTCTCTCTATCTCTCAATCTACAGTATAAGGAACCGCAGTAGACAAAAGGCGTTGCTATAGCAACATGTCATGTTTATATGAAAAGGGGTGGGGTCAATATGACCCGCTGGGCGGAAATAGGTATAAATGGCAATTTTTTGGGCGATTTCTTCAATCTGACTTCATATTGACAATTTTTAACAACATAGGGTGCTACATAACACACTTTCAGGAAAAGTCACAGACTGGAAGACTTTAATATTTTATTGAAAAAAAGTTACACACAATAAAAAACAGCTCTGGGTCAAATTGACCCGATTGGCGGTTCTAGTGTTAAACACTATATCTCAATCCATCTCTTTTTATTTATTTACCTTCAGCATCCATTCCTGACAATAAAGCATGATGTAAATGCTGATGGTTGGAAAAATCAGTATCTTTGTGTTTTTAACTCAATATTAAACATGTTAGTTGTATGTTAATGCAGTTACTATGAGATATGATTGAAATGAGAGTGGTCAAATATGAGCAGCACCTCCTAATAAAATGCAATCAAGTAGAAAAAAGTCACTAACTCATACCCTTAATATAGACAGTGTTGAATGTATGAACACATTTCTGTAAACTAAAGTTATATCTTAACTAATATGTGATTTGCAGCAGAGCTGATCCAATGGGATTTCAATATGCATTTAATAACTCATACTCCCACTCACATCTCTGTTGTTAATATTGTCATATATATATCTTTCCAGATCCACAGTTTTGATGAAAGTAGTGTGACAGGGAGCTACACAGGAGGAGCAGAACATTTAGGTGGGTCTCTAAACCTATCATTATTTATTAAAGTATTCTCAATTCGCTTGCTTTCTCTATATTGCCACTCCTGAAACACAAGGAGAGTTCCTTAACAAAACGTTATGACACCTGAATGACACTTTTACAACACAGGCCGCTTATTCGACTTGGAAAAGTTTTACATGATAGAACTATCAACGGGAACATAAATATGTAAATCACCGGCATACAGTTTCAGCTTCATTGGACAATCTCGCATGATGCAAAAAATGCAAAGGCATTAGAGGCTTTGGTCATTTCCATATGGGCATCATTGCTGGTTAAACTGCATGGTTTTCTGTCAGGACAAAACATAGTGACATCTCCATGTAACACTTCTATTGGCTATTGCTAAAAAACTTTGTACGTGGGACGGGACATTTCCGACATCCCTAAGCGGTTAACCAATCAGAACAGAGCCGGCCAGCTAACCAATCAGAGCAGACTGGGCTCTGGTTTCAGACAGAGGGTGAAAAAAGGTGCTGCAGCACAGGCAGTATGAAAAATACAGAGCTTTTTGAACATTAAAGCATGGAGACATGTCCCAGTAGATACATACTGACCTGAACATTTGTATAATAGGACCCCTTTAAGTTGTGAATATAACACACTCTCCCTCTTTCTGATTGCTTTCCCTTTCCTCCCCTGTGTGTGAGCAGCGCAGAGTTTCATGCGGTCCACCAGCTGCCAGTCAGACAGCAGTGGGTTTTTAGAGGAGCCCATCATCCCCCCCCTCAGTCAGCAGGCGGCACCGGGACAAGATCTCCTCAAGGTCTCCTAATAATGCACTCCTCTCACAATAAAATGCAATGCTAAATCTGCTGTACCCTTTTAAATCACTCACTCTGACAATGTGCTTCAATGCGATGTACTGCATGTCTCCGGTTGTTTGACTGTCTGTAATGTGTGTTTGGTCGTAAGGCTCTGTCAGGCCTGCTGGGAGGAAGCACTGACAGCCAGAGCAGTGAGAATCCAGACTCCACCTCTCCAACTTCCCCTCATACCGCTTCATCTCTACCGCTCTCGTCATCTCCAACCTCTTCTGGTGCAGACACATCTCTCCTTTCACCAGAGCTTTCGTTAGTTTCCCCCCATTCCCCATCTCCCGTTTTATCGCGTCTCCTGGAATCTAACCTGCAGAGTTTACAGACCCCACGTGATCAGGATCAGTCTTCCTCTGCTTCGCTGCCTGCCTCGTTAACTCCAGATTCAGAGGAGATTAAAACTGAGGACCAGGATGCACCACACCCCCACCTCTCTGGTCCATCCCATGACTCTGAGAGCACAGCATGCCTGAGTGACCCTCCTCCTCCTGCCTCATCTCCCTCTCCAAATTTGGCTTGTTTGTTTTCCTCCTCTGGGAACAGAGAGTCAAACCAGGCTGAGTTGGCTTCACATGGGAATTCCCTCTCCGATTCCTCACCATCCTCGCATCCCTTTTCAACTCCTGATCGTAGTTGTCCACCCCCTTTCTTCTCTGTCCTGGACTCCTCTGAGTTTGAGGAGGTTTGTCCCACACCGCCTTCTCCTAAATCTTCCAGTCCAGTTTGTCAATTCTCATCACAATGCCAGGATGGTGAGGTCGACCCAGCTGTTGAACGAATTCCAGGCCTTTCAGAGCACTCCCAACAGGACAAAGCAAGTCATGATGATAACTTACATCCAGCCCCTCCTGTCCAAGATGTCTTCCAGAGGAATCACCTCCCGTTAGGCTTTGAGGATACCCATCAGACGGGGGGGGAGGAGGGCGCTGACACTGTGCAGACTCCAGAGGTTTACATCCCAGACACAGAGAGCTCTGCAGGCCTGTCAGAAAGTTCAAGATTAGTCTGTGAGGAAGTATGTAACCAAACAGAAATAGATCCGCAGCTCCAGTCCTGTAGTTTGCAAGAGGGGCTTTCAGCTGGAACCAAACCGGAAGACTTTCAAAGGGGATCAGACGGAGAATCACTCACTTCAGTTTTACTTGATGATGTGCCAGAAGCGCACAGCAGAACTGAAGTGGAACCAAAGGGTCTGATCAAGATCGAGAGCTTGGATCTGGTGTTTCAAACCTCAGTGGACGGCTCTGGAAGTGGAAGTGAAAGTGAAGATACGGAGGCGTTTCTTGAGCGGCTTGATAATGAAGGGCGGGTCTATTGGGCGGAACCGATCCAGGTTTCCAATCCGACTCCTGAAGCAGGCAGCTTTGAAACCCCTGACGAATCTCCTGGGAATACAAATGCAGCTTTTATGGATTCTTCTTCATCCACAGGCAGAGACATGACTTCATCGGTGACATCCTCAACAACAATGGACACTAACCACCAGACCTCCTCAGATTCACCCTCCTCTTTGACGCGACCATTAGCGTCCCCCGTCGCATCTTCAAACCTGAAACCGTCAAGTCGCTCCGTCTCTGTCCAGATGTCCTCATCTCCTTCCTCTCATATTGTCCACCGGACGGATGTTCCCTTCACGACTCACTCTAAACGCTCCCCTCTCCCTAGTGTCCTCCCTTTGGACACCTCCAGTCCTTTCCGCGCTGTCCAATCGTGGACAGACCTGCACATCCAACGACACACCCTCACCCAGAAGTTATCACACGGGGGGCTTCATTCTGCCCCATATGAAGTGACCGTATCCACTGGAATGATACCAAACCCTACACCGAACTTCTCCTCGTGTCCATATTTGCCTAAAGAATGGGAGTCACATGACTATCTCCCCGGGATGGCTAGAAATCCTATGTCGGTGTCTGTGGATAAAGGGCTGTGGACCGATGAGGAGGAGGAGGTGGACAGGAATGGAGGGGAATATGAGGACAAGCTTTGGGAGGGTCCTCACACTGAGACCATCGCATGCTGCTCCTCCTGCGACCAGCAGTGTACCTGCAGGCACGGAGAGCAACGGGGGAATATTCCTGTGAGTAACACAATCACCATCATTTCGTTATTCCTCTTTTCTCACTCTTGGATTTATATGTTATGTTCGCTTTCCGTGTCCTTGGTCAGTTCAACTGTTTCTTTTGTATTCACCTAGGTCAGAGTGAATACAAAAGAGTGAGCAGTCCATCTTCCAATGAGTCACGATGTTTCCACTTTGATATAAATAGTATATTTGTTGTTGTATTACCATAGTTCTTGAGATGGAGGCCCATTCATAGCCAGGACCTTATTAACATATCAATGCCTCATTTGCATGTGGAGTTTGTGGAGACAGTGGTGTGTGTGTTGCAGGTACATGAGGTGATACACAAAAGCTGAAATCTTCCTTACTTCTAGGCCTTAAAGGGGACCTATCATGCAAAATGCACTTTTTTAGGTCTTTTCTACATGAATATGTGTCCCCGGTGTTCCAGGGAACTCACCAAGTGTCAGAAAACACAACCCTCTCTATTTTCCTCCATACCCAAATCTCTAAAAAAGGGGCTGCAACGGATCTGATAAAAACTGATCCAGATTTGAAGGCAAGGCAAGGCAAGTTTATTTATATAGCACCTTTCAACACAAGGCAATTCAAAGTGCTTTACAAAAATGGAAGACATTATGAAAATGGCATTTAAAATCAGTCATTAAAAAGAAAAGATAATAAAATAAACATTAAAAGAAAAAATACATGGATAAAAGTTCAAAGTTACAGTGCAGTTTAAGATGTGAATAGTTCAATTAAAAGCAGCGGCAAAAAGAAAAGTCTTCAGCCTGGATTTAAAAGTAGTAAGAGTTGCAGCGGACCTGCAGGTTTCTGGGAGTTTGTTCCAGATATTTGGAGCATAATAACTGAACGCTGCTTTACCATGTTTAGTTCTGACTCTGGGGACAGAAAGCTGACCAGTCCCTGAAGACCTGAGAGATCTGGATGGTTCATAATTTAGCAGTAGGTCAGACATGTATTTTGGGCCTAAACCATTCAAAGCTTTATAAACCAGCAGCAGTATTTTGAAATCTATTCTTTGACACACAGGAAGCCAGTGTAAGGACTTCAGAACAGGAGTGATGTGATCCACTTTCTTAGTGTTAGTGAGGACTCGAGCAGCGGCGTTCTGAATTAGCTGCAGCTTTCTAATAGATTTTTTAGTGAGACCTGTAAAGACACCATTACAGTAGTCGAGTCTACTGAAGATAAAAGCATGGACAAGTTTTTCCAAATCCTGCTGTGACATTAGTCTTTTAATCCTAGATATGTTCTTTAGGTGATAGTAGGCTGATTTAGTAACTGTTTTAATGTGACTGTTGAAACTCAGGTCAGAGTCCATGACTACACCTAGATTTCTGGCTTTATCTGTTGTTTTGAACATTGCAGACTGAAGCTCAGCGCTAACTTTTATACGTTCTGCCTTGGCTCCAAAAACCATTACCTCAGTTTTATCTTTGTTTAATTGGAGAAAGTTCTGACACATCCAGTCATTGATTTGTTCAATGCACTTACTCAGTGTTTGAATTGGAGCATAATCTCCTGGTGAAATTGTTACGTAAATTTGTGTGTCATCCGCATAGCTATGGTAACTTATTTTGTTGTTTTTCATTATCTGAGCCAGTGGTAGCATGTAGATGTTAAAGAGAAGAGGCCCCAAGATGGAGCCTTGAGGTACCCCACATGTCATATTTGTCAACTCAGATGTGTATTTACCTATAGAAACAAAGTTTTTTCTGTCCTTTAAGTAGGACTCAAACCAATTTAGAACTGTTGCCGAAAGTCCCACCCAGTTTTCTAGTCGGTCTAGTAATATGTTGTGGTCAACAGTGTCAAACGCAGCACTGAGATCTAATAATACTAACACTGAAGTTCTGCCACTGTCTGTGTTTAAGTGGATGTCATTGAAGACCTTTACAAGAGCAGTCTCAGTGCTGTGGTTTGGACGAAATCCTGACTGGAACACATCCAAACAGTTATTTAAATGCAAGAAGTTACTCAACTGTTGAAATACAACTTTTTCAATGATTTTACCTAGAAATGGCAGGTTTGATATTGGCCTGTAATTGTTCATTACTGAGGCATCTAGATTATTCTTTTTTAAGAGCGGTTTAATGACTGCAGTTTTCAGAGCCTCTGGAAAAATACCTGAGTGAAGAGATGTGTTTACTATATGAAGTAGATCTGAGGCCATGCAAGGAAAAACATCTTTGAAAAATCCTGTTGGAATAATATCAAGGCAGCAGGAGGAGGATTTCAGAAGTTGAATAATGTCCTCTAAGTTTTTACCATTAATCTGATGGAATTGTGTCATGGTGTTTGAATTGATATTAGGTGGACATAGGGACAACACATTTGCTGTACCTGATGCAGAGGCACTGACTGCTTGTCTAATTTTCTGAATTTTGTCAGTGAAGAAGGAGGCAAAATCATTGCACGCCCTGGTGGATAGAAATTCAGAGGCTACTGACACTGGGGGGTTAGTTAGTCTGTCGACGGTAGCAAACAAGGCACGTGCGTTGTTTTTGTTTTTGGTAATGATGTCAGAGAAGAAAGACTGTCGTGCGTTTTTCAATTCCAAATTATAAAGGCCAAGTCTCTCTTTATAGATTTCAAAGTGAACCTGGAGATTTGTTTTTCGCCACCTACGTTCACTGTCCTGACGTCAGGACGGTGGCGCTACGGCTCCACCAATCAGGAGGAGACAGCCACGGCCATTGCCGTTCGAAAGCGCTGGAGACGCTGTAGTACATATGCCAGGCCTGTAGGTGGTGCTGTTCTTACAGAATCAGCCCTTGCAAAAACAGAGCTAAAAAATGTCAAATTGAGCGAAATGAGGCGTGGCTAAAATGCATGATCTGTTTGGTATTTTGAAAAAAAAAAAGTATAAATATGCCTTATATAGGTATGGTCCTATACTATATTATTCAAATATAGCATGATAGGTCCACTTTAAATGTTTTTATTGTGTGTTGTTGAGCTAACGGTGTGTAAATGCAACTATTATCTATCATTCTTGATTTTCCATATATCCCATTTTCTTGTTATGTTGACAGTACTCTCTGGATGAGTTGGAGGAGATGATACTGTGTCTGCAGCAGTTTCGCTCCGTGCTCAGCAACATGGAGGAGCAGCTCTCTGAGGACCAGGCTGCCGTTTACAGTGCTCTCTCCGACCAGGACAGGTACACAAACACCCTGTTTGCACCCTGACATTTCGACTTTGTGTCAACATTAAGGTTACAATATGTGGCTTTAGTTAGTTAGTTAGTTAGTAGAGCAGGGGCCGGCAACCTTTTTTATATGAAGTGCCATTCAAAAAAAAATATTTTATCAGCGTGCCGACGAGGTGTGTGTGTGTGTGTGTGTGTAGGGTGAAGGTTCAGGACATAGAGGAGCTGAGGCGGGCGGTGCGGCAGGAGGCGGAGGAGCTGGAGCTGCAGCTGAATGAACTCGCCCATCACTACGATGACAGCTTGAAAATGGTGAGACCCTCTTTCACACAAACACACTCACAGACACACACAGGAAAACCAGCTTCCTGTCTTCCAAAACCTTTTATCCCGAGGCACCTGCTGCCTGTAGCCAATCAGGGAGGAGCTCTGGAATTGTTGCCACTTTAACCCAGGTGTCATCAATCAGTCCCTCTTAGAGCTGATCAGTTGTTGCTTTGACAAAATACATGAATCAAATGTGCCCTCTGAAGAGGCCTTTTGAAAACATAACATATAATATTGTTAGTTAATTAACAAGCTAACAACCTCCTGTTTGGAACTGAATAATATAAAAGCAGGAAAATGACCAACAAAGACATCTTAAAGGGGAAGTGCGCTGTTTCTTTGTAAAGGGACAGGCCGGCCCGGTAGAGAAGTCACCCTACAGAAACCTGAAAAAAACATGCACTTCTGTACTATACTATACGCCTCATATTTTTCAACAGATGCACAGCCGTTATGCGCACCTACTCTCAGCATGTGTTTTAAATAGATATTTGATCTATTTTAAGTAGTTTTCTTCTGTATGAACAAAGTGGTATTGCTTGTTTCTGATCAGAAGATGCACAGGCTGCTGGACGAGCAGTCTCTGCTCTGCTCTCAGCTCAGCGTCCTACCTGGAGCGGGACTCCCCTCCTCGAGCCCGGCCCCCCCCGGCAGGACGGTAGCCACTCAGTGCTGCATGCGGCCCGGGACCCCCCCCCGCAGCGGAGGAGACCCTCAGACAGTCCCCCCCTGGATCAAAGTGCCTCTGTGAGGGCCTGGACATGAAGCTGGACATGATGGGCTTCCTGCAGAGAGTAAGACATCACGTTAATATATGAAGGGAAACAAGTAGAGAGAGGCTGACGTGTCAAGGTTCATTGTAGTTTATAGCAAGTAGTCTTTGATACTTTTATATTATTTTGTAAACTCCTGTCATGTTTTTCAGTTGAAGGAGTCTCTGCGTCATTCTGTGAACACAGACTCATTGGAGTAAAAGGTGAGGTTTTTTTATTAATCATTTAATCATAATTTAAATGCATACATCTGATATAGAAATTCATTTATTAACAGAAAACCAATATTTGGGTCAACAAGAAGGTAGAATATATCGCTTTCTTTTCTTTTTCAATGTATCAAAAGTTTACTTATTTGATTAACATTGCAGCTGCATAGTCAATGAAGAACACAGAAAAAGACAACACTTAATGAAGCGGATAAGGATATGGAACCCTAACCCTAGTTTAGACCACATAACAGCCAGTGTTACGAATAAATATTGCAATTTATACCCTAATAAAATGTCATTTTAGGTTTAATTTAAATTGTGCTTGTATATCATCCTGATGTGCAGGTGTCAGTGGTGCTGCCTGAGAACCAGGGGGGTCCTGAAGTCTTCCATTCACTGAAGAATATTTTTTCAGATATACGCCTTTTTGTAATATTTGTTCATATTTTCCTCTAGAACCACTACGAGCTGCATGAGAAGCAAACTTTGTTGTATAGGAAAAATGTGTAATAAAAGAAAAGCAATAACGGCATAGGATAGGCTGTTTAAATCATATAAAAACATGTTTAAAATATATATATATTTATATAAATGTAAGTATTTAATACACACGAGGCCTCTGGTCAGAATGCACAAAGCTTCGTATGAATAATTCCACTACAATAAACCGTAGAACAGTGAAACATGTTTGTGTTCTTTCATGTATGTCTGTATTATTTCATATTGAGGTTGTTTGTTGTGCTGGGGGGACGTTTGGAACAAAAGCTCCAGCGGTCTACAGCACACTTCAGCAGGATGTCTCAATTACCAGAGGATAATCCCCCATCAAGACTTCAAAAGGGTTTGATTATCACAAGGGTCTTTTTGTAGGAAAGAGCTGATATAACTAAAAAGAACACTCCTTCCTGTTCCTGTGCACTTCCATACACGTTTACATGTCAATTCCTATTATTGTATGTATTTATTTGATATGTAAAAAGGATATGTTCCTGAAACTAAACTCTATATATCTTCTTTTTTAGTGATATATTTCAATATCATCAAGCAGTCCAACATTGTTAGCCTGCAATGTTTAATAGCATCTTTGTGAAATAGACGATTTTAAGGTTAAATAATTGATAGAATTATTCTTGAAGGAGTTCTGTTTGTATGAATAAGTGTACAAAGCAAATGAAAATACATATATGATGAGCATGTTGTATAATGTCAAGAAGGAGGTGCGACAGAGGGTTTACTAACAACCCTTTTTTATCGAGTACAATGAGAGGGTGTGTTCAGGTCAGTTTTCTTAAAAGGCGCTAATTAGACTTATATTGATATTCAGCAGCTCTTCTGGGAGGAGGGGGGGGGGGGGATTGGGTAGATAACGGGATCAGCAGAGGCTCCTCCTCCGAGCTTCATAACCCTCACTGCTCTGCTCTGAGTGTGTGACACTGCTGAGACCGAGGTAAGAACACTTTGATTCCTTATTCATCATGGCTGCTTTGATTTAGTCTGAAACAGTTTCAAAGCTTTCTCTGCTTTGGTTTCATTTTCGCAGCCACATTTGCAACCATTCGGGGATCTATTTTATTTTGTATATATTGTTTTTAGATGTGTCTGTCTTTGTTGATCATTTGGAGAATCAAAAAAGATCGCATCTGCTTACTTGACAAATATGTTAAAAGACACCGGTTTGGACATGTTTAAAGTGTAAAGAAGAGTGGACAAAGAACTGATGTTGGACTGTCGTCATTTTATCAACGCTTGAGTTCATGCAGTATTATCTAAAGTAAAGCAGATGTGTCGATGAGGCAATCACACACACACACACACACACACACAAACGGCGTTGAAGTGCTTTATCCTTTGTTAGTGTCATAAGGTCCTCATGAATAATGGATTGTGGATGATCGTGTGTTTATGTGTGTGTGTGCGTGTGTGTGTGTGTGTTATGTGATACGTGTAGAAAGCCCCGAGGGCCTCAGAGATGACGACTGGCTGTGTGAGGTCGACCCTGGAGCCTGAACATCGACTGATGACACAGGAGAGCAAACACTGTGAGCACAGAGCTAAATGACACAACATAGCACAAAGTACAAAATAATTGAAACATTAAATCATCATTAAGAGCTCTTTTGGTCCAATTTTCAAGGAATAAAATGCCCAGATTGTTTTTAATTGACATTGATTTTTACCTGAATGATATCTTCTCAGACAAGTCGGCGCTGGAGAGCCTGGTGGGCAGGAAGTCAGAGATGAAGGGCGTTGAAGAGGAGGGGAAGGCTCTCTGCTCAGAGGACCAGGAGGACGTCCAGAAGAAGAAACCTCGCAGGAAAGACACACCCGTCCTCAACTCTCCTCCACGTATACCAGGTCAGCACACTAACACAAAATGAGTCCAGGTTTGTGACTCTCACAGCTCCATTCTCCTCAGATAGTCTCAGAGAAGAAACCTCTCCAACCAAACATCTGTGAAGTGTGTTTTGTGTTTTCGCTGACAACCTGTCTTCCTTTCTTCAGGAGTGAGACAGCTGAAGGCGGAGAAGCAGATGGTCCACTTAGAGGACGAGGAGAAGGACTTCAAGGATTAAAGCCTGGATTTAACTTCTATTTTCTTGTCAATAAATGTTTACAGTCTTATTAAATGTTGCCTTGGCCTTAAGATTTGTTTGTTTTTTACATTTTCTGGCACCAGAAGACCAGGACAATTTCAAAAAGTGCTCTCTTCTCCCCTCTTAAATGGCTTTTATCACCTAACTGGAAGATGCCACCTGTGTTGACGGGGGTAGCTAAACGGAGCAGACATCCAAATCACACAAAATAATAAACGTACCATTAATAGAAAATCTGTAGATTATTGTTAATCTATCTCTGGGCAGCCATCCATAGCAACCAGCACACCAATGATATCTTATCATTTACTTCAAAGCCGTCTCCCCCATCTTCCTTCATGTTAAAAGTGCCCGGACTTAATGAGACACACCTGTTTGCACTTTGCTTGATTGAGCACCTGGTCCAACAACTAAAAACAAATGTATAAAACAACCGAAACAGTGCATGTCTTTAAAACCACATTAATTGATAATGCATTAAATAAACTCAAATGAAGCAAAGACAAAAACCCTGTTCATTTGGGGAAAGAGTGTCTAGTTACAAGGTAAGAATACACCCTTTTTCACAATGTGAATTTAATTGAAAAGACACAATGAGGAAGCAAACATGTGTGGTGTAAAGTCATATGAAGATCTTTACAATTGTATTTAAAGACGGGTCAAGAGTCGTCGGTTTGGTTCTGGTGCAAGAAGTACATTTCCCAAAGCCCTGTATTGAAGTAAAAATTATAATATTTGCCTTTGCCCCTACAGTACTTGATTAAATGTACTCTGTACTCCACTGCAGCTCAACACTTGAGAGAAAACTCAGATTTTAATCTCACTCTAATTTAAAAATATTAGTTGACTATCAGTTTGATTTGATATATATAAATGTGCAGCATTTAAAGTATAATACTTACCACTCCTGTCCTCAGGTATGGCTTATGTCTCACTCTGACTGCTTTTTGAAGAAAGCACACAAACTGAACTCTGCTAGGGACTCACTGGTAACACTTAGATAAATTATAAGTTAAATGAGATTGTTTGAGACAATTCAGCAGTGCCTCGATGTATTAAACCATCAAAATAAACAAACATGGCAAAAACCTACACTGAGACTGAGTTAAATTACATTAAAGAACACATTCATTTCTCCAGCGGGACAACAGAGGGAGAGAAGGGAAGGGAAAGCCTAATACAAAATGTCTTTAAATGATCAAACAGAAATAATAATTAAGAATAATAATTGGAAATTAAAATGTATTTAGCAAAAGTCATAGTTTGAAGGAGCATTTTCCAAAAAAAAGTGCTAAGTCCAAAAGAATTAGGAGCTGCAAGTAATTAAGTTGAGAGACATCTAAAAGAGGGTGGGGTTAATACATCATCAACAGTGACCTATACAAGATTGAAACTCAGCAGGAGATCTGCTGAAGTACAAGGCTATATGCAAATATGAACAAAGACCCGTCATCATGTGGTAATATCTCACGATGTGACATCACGCTGATGTACTTTAGGTCACTTTCGGCGCCGCAGGGAGATGCGCTGCAGTCTGCGGGCTTTCCCCCGGGCATCAATGGGCCGCATCTCCGTGACCTTTGACCTGACCAGCCGGTAGGAGCTGGCAGTGTAGCTCGGTCTCTTGCAGTAATGGATCAGACGACACTCAGGCTGAGGCACTGCAGAGACAGCAACATGAGAGTTAGCAAGGAAACACGCTCCAGACTTTGAGCTTTTGTGTTTTTAACAACTTCTTGCAACATCTGCAGCTTTTAAAAGTCTACAAAATGTCAGAGAATAGCCCATGTATCTTGGTTAACTCACATTTGTGTGTGTATTATTTGAATATGACAATAAAGAATGTATATAATAAGAAACTGTAATTATACTCCACAGGGTTGCAAGTAACAACCCTGCATAGAAATCTGACTTCAGTAACAGACTACAGAAGTATTATCAACAATATGTACTTGTATATGAAACCTTAATAGTGCAGGGAAGCCATGTACTAAGTCATGTTCTGTGTGAAAGCTAGTAGTCGCGTGTGTACCATTGTTCTGCTGCTTCTCCGTGTGGCCTTCAGGTTTCTTCCTGTGTGTGCTCTGAGCTCCTGCATCTGATTGTTTTTCTCCTCCCTCCTCTTTAGGTGTTGTCTCCCCCTCCCCCCCCACATCTCTCTTCCTCTCCTCCTGTCCTGTGTTGGAACTCGACTGTTTCTCCTCTTCTGTGTCTTTCTCCAGCTGGCCGCCCTCCTCTCCCTCATTCTTAGTCTTTTCTTTCAGATCTACACGCACAAACACACAAATACACCATTTAGAAATGAATACAAACATTGAGGAATTGATTGATTGATATTACTTGCAATACATAAACAGATATTAATGTGTACTCAGTTCTGCCGTTGTCTAGTATACAGTTTAAATAGCCATTATTGAAACATATATTGGAGTAACAGATATTAAAAGATAATTGTGGATACCTTTGGCTGCCTGGGCCTTCCACGTCTCCCTGTTTTGCTGAATCTCCTGGTTCCACGTGACCTTGAAGCTCTTGAAGTCCACGGTGGTCAGAGAGCAGCTTCCCTCTGAGCCCGTGCTCTTCACACTGGACTTCACACTGGACTGCTTTCCATCGCTGCAGACGATACTCTGGTCACTGTGGACAGAGTAAACAGGCATGGGCACAAAGAATCAGCCATGCACATAACACAAAGTGTAAGAGAAGCATGACTGTGGTGCTAATATATATTACAATATTTACCAACCGTACAGTAAGTGTTTGAGGGAGCCAGTATATCGTATCATTTCTAGTCTAATGGCACTACACTGACATCTAGTGTCCAAAATGTGTCTGACGTGTTATATTCGTTGTTTTTATTACATTTTTTCAGGTCTTATCGAACAACGTCAGTGTAAGGAGTGTCACTCAGAAAATGAGGGTCTTTTGTGTGTCACCTAGAGTGTCTTAATCCGTTCAACTCAGAGCGAGAGGCTTCCTCGATAAGCGGTGTCACAATCCTCTCGATCATTTCTGCCAGCACCGTGAAAGTTGGCTCCACGATGAAGTCGATGAATCCTGCAGGAAACAGAAGCCAAATCAACATTCATAGAATCAGGAACTCATTAGGATGCATCTGTATTTGTAGTGTTATTTTGTATACCTTACCAATCTGGGACTGGGCCACCAAAGTGGATTTTCGGTCACAGAGAGGAGAGAAAGGTAGACCCAGCTCTGCTTCTTTATCACCCTGAAAACAAATTCAGAAACATCAACAACACATCACTATTTTGGATTTAACCTTTAGTTTAGTTTCCTGTGTTGTGTCAATGTATGTCCTGTTAAGTTGACTCTTACTCTGAATACGTTTTGTTGATGCTGGCGGCCTTTGTTAGCCCATTTAAAATGCTAAATTAAGCTAAATGTAGGTGACAGTTAGTGGCTACCTGTCTGAAGAACTCCTCCAGCAGGGATGTGGTCCAGCGGTGATGGAGGTCCCAGCGTTTGGCGGGGTGGCTGATATCCGCAGTGTGCAGCAGCAGAGATAAGGCCTTCGGTTTGTCTATCCTGCAAATACAGTCAGTCAGTCAGTTATATAAATGAACTGACAAGCTGCTGTGCAATATCTAAAAGACAAGTACTTGATTGTGTAGCTGATGTAAAGCATGAAGTTCTGCATGGCTCTTGAAGTGTTGGTAAAGTCATGATGGCGCAAGAGGACAAGGCAGGTGATTACTAGAATCAGTAGGGTTTATCCTCTGGAGAACACTATTATTTTAAACAGATTTCACGGCAATGATGCTAGCACAGCTGAAAACCTGCCCCTCTTAACTGGTATGAATTATCACATCGAATGAGTCACAAAAATCGTCAGCCAACAAGTCCTGGCCTGTGTCGGTGTCTCTTGAGGTGAGGTGTGAAAACTCTCCTCTGATGCCACACACTGACTTGTCCAGGTACATTTTAATTGCTTTTGTCAGGTTGTGTGGTTTAGTTCAAATGAAATTACATTACAAAATGGCCACTATAACAATTAAATAGTAGTTATGAATAGTTGTATTTGTACTATGTTACATTTAAACCATAGACTGTATATGATTTAGACATATAATCCAGGTTTGGCCAAAGAATATTTTTTCTCAGGTATGGGGAATTACTCAGCTAGAGTAAAAATCATAATTCAGCTATAATACCACTTCCACAATGATATTTACTTGCTACAGCACAACACCGCTATAGTAACACAAGTAGTTATAATGGTGTTAAACCCATGTTGTGATAGTGTCAGCATCCCCACTAAGGTGTTTAAACCTTATTTAATGTCACCAAATCTGACTCCCCATAATGCAACGGTACTCACGTCTCCGGCTGCTGCAGGAAGCTCTTCATGGCTTTGATCTGCTGGAAGTGGCAGGACATGTCTGTGGCCAAAACCATCTCCACTACCAGCGTCCGCACCTCTCTGGAGGATCGGATGAAAGGAAAACATCACAACAGCAAATGGATGGATAGCCAAACAATACCTTGAATTGTGTTTGCTATTTTTCCATGACGCGACATAAGACTCTTTACACTTATGATGAAACACCTTAAATGATGACACATCACCCTCAGGTGTTAGTCCTCACCTCCAGTCGTCTTTGGAAAGATTGGTGAAGATGTTCATGTCGTCTCCGGACTGCAGGAGTCGATAGGCGGCGCTGACGTGGTAGTTCTCCAGGACGGCTCGGTCATTGTACAACATGGCTGTGTCTGACCTGCAGAGCCCACACAGTTACTTACTGAAAAATGACCAGAGACACAAATGATGCTGGGTGGAAGTTACCTGGTCTGAATATGGAAGTTATTGGTGGTCCCTGTGTGTTCAAAGTCATGGATGGCTGCTGCAAAAATGATGGCGAAGATCTCCAACTCAGTTAACCAGTGCTGAGAGAGAGAAACAGAGATTAGAGATTATATACTTTCTCAAGTGACGGAGGGAAGGACTTGTTTCCTTTTTGTTTTGAGTATTGAAAAGCTCTCTCTGCATTCCCTTCTTTAAAAAGTTTGCATCAACACTCACCACCATGCCAGTCTTGAGCAGCAGGTAGTGGATGGTCTGTGTTACATCAGCTGCATGCATCAGGTTGTGGTAAGGATTCTTGTATTTGCTGTAGCCCATCTCCAACGAGTCTACGAACGACATGAGAGCTGAAATAGGGACCTGCAAGAGACGAGACGCAACAATAAAACACGACATTTGAACCACGTATGAGTAAATAAACTAGAAAGATCACACGGAATCACCTATCTGTAGAATCTTAACTGTGCATTCATACCTTGAAACGATTGATCAGGTCGTATCTGGTGAGCAGCTCGTAGAAGACAAACTTCAGAGCGTGGTCTCCACTTGCCTCGTTCAGCGCAAACACATCGAAGGACCACATGTCCACGTGCTGGAGCAGATACACAAAGAAGTTTATTTAGAACATTTTAGTTTTTTCTGTACAAATGATTGTTATCCTTCACCTGCACAATCTATGACAATCATTTCACAATAAACAAACACATACATAAACTCATGAATACCTTGATCACAGTAATGACATTTGAGGGATAACTAAGACCAGCCAAGTTGGAGGTTCGTCGGTACATCCTGCCACACAGATATAACACACAGTCAAACACACTGACTAGTTAGTATTACTACTTCTTTTGGTTCTGTTTTATTCAATCAAATCATTTCCTATCTCTTAAACATCCAAAAAAGTGTTCTATTCCCAGAGACATTATAATAAAAGTAAACCCATCAGACCTCTCCACAAAGATGCCAGCCTGCACTGCGTGGACGATGCTTTTGAAGCGCGGCTTGTCTTCGTTGCGGCGCAGCATCAGGCCTCTCTGCCGGGTGAAGGTGGAGGCCAGCCAGTCCCGGACCTCTGAAGGCACCGTGTCCGACTGGATGTCACTCAGCTCGTCCTCCAGGTCCACCAGCCGCCTGCACGGAGACACACAAAGGCAATGACTCATACAATGTACAATTATTTGCAGGTTACTTAAAAAGCTATCATTTGACTTGATGATTTATCTAACTTTTTCTGCAGAGTAAGTGTAATTCAAAGCTGAATTCCATCGATTCAACTTTCTCTTCGTATGTAGAAAAATGGTAACTGCTATACAATAGGCACATTTGTAATGAATGCAGCAATAACCTGAGATTTAAGATTCAAAGTTGAGCTCACAGTATGTTTGGAGTCTAATTGGTTAGTGTTGCTGCGGCAACTGACACAGAAAGACTTGTTTTTGTACCTTTTTCAACAGTGTGAAGGCTGTTGTTTTTGTACACGTTACAACTTCCATGGCCCCTCTGAACTTTGCATAAAAGTACTTTAAATCATCCTGGAGTCATGAGTTATATTAATACTGAAAGGCTGAGCTGCTTGGATCTCGATGGTTTGTGTTAAAAGGTCTTGATATCTCCTCATCTAAGATTCATACAACATATATTGGGTTATCATTATTATAGTAAATTATATTAAATCCATACAGAATATAATCTTCTGAAAAGGACCATACAGCATAACGACTACTTGGATACTTTAGGTGCTCATATTTCTTTCGGGGCTTTAATAAATAATTTTTACATTGTTTTTTTTGCTGCATTTACTTACATAATGAAGGTAAACAATCAGAATACTCCTTCCCAAACTGCTGAAAAGTCTAAGTTTCGACCAATCATAATCAGTCTTAGCGACATTCAAGAGAAGAATGTCAAAATGAGGTACTTTGTTTGACACAGTTCATGTTTTCGTATGGTTTCTTGCCTTGTTTCTTCAATGTAAAGCGATTCTAGGACTGAGGCAGCGTTCTCCAGGTTCTTCTTCAGGTCGGGCACAGAAGCCTCCCCCCTCTCCAGCTGCTTCACGAGACATCTCAACCTGCAACACACACCGTCAGCAACACACCTTTATACAAACAATGCCACATGCTTTAACTTGAGTTCCTAAAACCAGAAACCTTTCACTATAATCCGTTTTACCATAACATCGCTGAATACACTCTTCTGTTCTCCCTTCTGAAACTAGTAGCCATTGTTTTCACTCTTAAATTAAAAGGCCTTTAAAATAGTAATATCTCCTCTACTAATTTCTAAAATGCATGTAGAGGCCACTTCTCACAAATAATGTAAACATATTTGTCGAGAGAATGTGTGCATCTTGAGAGAATCTCAGTGGTTTTGATGATAAAACAGTAAAATCACGTAGAAGGTGTTATTATTTGTCTCACAAAATTAATTTCACCACAAAGCAAAACACAGAACTGCTTTACAACTCCATGATTTGCCAGTTGTAACATGCAGACCCAAACGGAAATCTGATGTTTCTGTGTGTGTGTGTGTGTGTGTGTGTGTGTGTGTGTGTGTGTGTGTGTGTGTGTGTGTGTGTGTGTGTGTGTGTGTGTGTGTGTGTGTGTGTGTGTGTGTGTGACCTGATAGCAGTCCTCTCCATGGCGTCGGCAGAGTCAGGGACAGGCAGCTCGTCCGCCAGGATCTCCTCGGAGCTGCGCGGGTCTATCCCGATCCCTTTGGGTTCAGTGGAGCCGGCTTTGACAGCAGGGCAGAGTGCATTCTGGGATCGTGAGCCTGAACAGTTTTCATACAATCACTGATAATATATCTACAAATATCTAAAACAATCCAGGACCATAACTTGAAATAGAAAGGGGACATTTTTGGTGAACTCACGTGCAAAGCGAGCCAGTGGATGGCGGGTGTTTTTTTCCGATCCCTCGTTAGCAACTGGAAAGATAAGAGACATTCTTTCATTTTAAATTCTCATTTGTTCTTTAAGTATGGTGTTTAAAGGCCACAGCAACTACGAATTAAGTCATTAAAATAAGCATATACATAATACAAATACAGTGAAGTAAACATGTAAATACGTAATAACAGGATAAATATAGCGACCCAGGAGGACACCTGCCACTCCAGACCAGAAAGGATTACTGTGTGTGTGTGTGTGTGTGTGTGTGTGTGTGTGTGTGTGTGTGTGTGTGTGTGTGTGTGTGTGTGAGTGATTGGGGAGGATGAGTGTATGGCTGGAATCAGGCAGAAAAGGAGGAAATACAGCACATCCACTTCATTAGTGATAATGACTCCCTGAGCTCAGCACCCTAACAACTGACTACACACACACACACACACACACACACACACACACACACACACACACACACACACACACACACACACACACACACTAGCACCAGTCAAAGTGATGTCACATTTATGTCATCTCTTCTGGTTCCCATAGAGACAGCAGTCAGTAAACACAGACACACACTGTAAAATGACATGGCCTTCACAATTATATTTTCTGTATTATATTATCTTCAACCGATGTAATGTGTAGACACTGTTTTCATATCTGTGTGCCCGAAGTATCAGTCTATACAACTGCAGATCACGCTTGGATGTGGGAGTAATTTCAGTCTTTTCCGCCCAAATTAAAAAGAGTTTGATAACATTCATTGTCCAACTTCCTGTCCATGACCCTGACAAGGATTTCCACACAAACAACTGTGCTGCATGCAATCTGACTGCAGTAAGCCTGAACAACACCTGGTGCACAAGCTCTTTGACTACAACGTTATGCAACTAGCCTAGCACTACCTGTAGACAGGGAAATGACACAGGAAGTGAATGGTTATTGCTTTTCTGTGCATACAACCCTGGACCACGGCTGTAAAGAGGCAATTAAGTCTACTACAAGCCAGTTAATGAAGGGAAACCTGGAAAGATAACAAAAAATGAGGGGCATTGATGAGTTTTAACACTGAGGATGGGTTCAGTTGGATGGAGTTTGGTTAGAGTTCTCTTTTGGGCTGCTTTGAGCACATGGGCTCTGTCATGTTGGAACAGGAAAGGGCCAAACACAAACTATTTACACAGAGTTGGTGAAACACTTTTGTCTTAAATATCAATGTAAGCTGGAGCATTAAGATTTAATTTTCATTAGAAATAAGGAGAGGATGTACACCATTGAATAGACACAAAGGACTCTAAAGGGCCTCACAGGCTGATTCACAAGTAACTGTATATTCATACAACATCAAATTAAAAGAGGTCATTTTATGGATAAGGATAAAGTAGAAATATTAGTGATTTTGTTAAAGCTGTCAGTACAAAAGAATATTTCTTTCTCTTGAGTGACATGCGACATACAAAGAAAATTGCACTGAGAGTGAGCACCTGCAATACCATAAACCTTAAGTAAAGAACACCACCTGTTCAGCAACACACTCATGCACACACACACACACACACACACACACATCATACCCACTGTAACAAGGAGTCTCTTACCGATGGTGAAGCTGAATCCATCAATGCTGAAAGTGGCACTCCGACACTTTTTAATCCCCTGTTTTTTAGATGTTGGCTGTGTCATTGTGGCTCTTGGTGTGTGCTGCTCTGCTCTCTCGGAGGCTGTGTGTTCAGAGAGATGTTTCCCAGGAGAGGCTGAACAGGAGGCTGTTCCCTCTGCTGGCTGTAACCCTGGCAGTGCTCGTAGTCCCGCTGGAGGCTGACGGTGCTGTGGAGCTGTGAGCTGCCGTGTTCAGGAGGAATGCTGGCCTCCTCCGCCCCTCCTCCTCTTCCCTGCTCTTCATCTCTCAAGGCCACTGTGATCCTGCAACAGCACCTACAATGGCAACTCTCTCCAGTTTCTCTCCTTAATATATGTATTGGTGCATTTCCGGTAGAACACTTCCAATATGGCCTGCATTTTGTTGTACATTTTATCTCGTGAATGTGACAAGACACTGGATCTCGTGCAGAACAACTTGTACAGATTTGTTCTTTTGTGCCATGTAGGAACTATGAAAGAGAATGTGTGGTCATGACCATTTTTTTCTCACACTCAGAATAAGGTACAAAGAAATTCTCATGTATCCCTGACCTATTGTACAATCATTTACAGATGGTTTGCTTTTATCTACAGGGGAAAAACATTCATTTCACAAGAAATCCTAATGCTGTCATCTAAATACAACTCACCATTGTATCGTCATCATCATGGCTGCCAGATTACTGGGAGATTTGGGGAATTTTATGTCTGTTATCGGCATATTTAGGCACAAACCTGAACTCTGTATCACCTCAAGTCTGTCATTTTGTTAAATGAGGTGTTCCTGTACTCCAAGACTCAGAAGAAATGCTTTATTGGGACAAATGTAAGATGGACAGTATAGCCAAAGTGTCAATGTAATTTAAAATTCACAATTGTTGTGAGGCACCAGCTTTAAAATTAGGTTGTCAGAGTGAAAGTCATGCAGATGTTTCAGTAGTGGAAACATTTATTAAGCAAACATACTGAACAGATCCTCAACGAGCTGATTGGAAGAAGTGAAGATGATGTTACTCTTGTCGGGGATGATTGATTCCAGGAAATGAAAAACAGTTTGCCTGATTGAGTCCCGAGAAAGGACTGACGGTCATTGTAGCCTTCAGCAGGGTCAAGTTATAGAAGACCACACCGTTAAATGAGAGCAGGGACATCTGATAGGGCTGGGAAGAATATGAGAAGCCTCCGAAGCTTGGACGTTAGAAGATGAGTGCAGCCCTTATGAGGGTTAATAAAGGATGCAATCTTATTATATTTCAATAGAGCAATAAGTCATTAGAACTGACTTGATAACAGTGTGCTTGGGTAGTTTTTAAAAAGTCGACTGATAGAGGAAAAAGACACTGGATGGATATATAATATTGTACGCTTTCTGTCAGTGCTCAGCCATGAGTGAAACACAGCAGACTGTTCAGAGCTGACAGGGTGGAGGAGTTTAACTGTGATCACTCCGCTTCATCATTACTCCTTCCAGTTACTGAGGTATAAAAGTGAGACGGGTTGTGACATACCGTCTTTTGTTGAGACACGGCTGTCAAGTGTTACACACACACATGCCATAACACACAAGGGTTGAGCAGCCAAGCAGAAATGAAGCAGAGTGTTCTCCTGGGAGCATAGCGGGTGGAAGAAGCTGAATAAAAAGTTCCTTCCTAATTTATTTGGTCAAGTAGGAGCTTTTTATTTCAAAGAAGTGGGAAGTGAAAAAGCAATAGAACAAATAGTTTCTGTGTAAAACAAGTATATCTGCAGCCTCTCTTCCTGGCTCGTCCTCTGAAGTTAATTGAATTTCCTTTTTAGAAAAGCACATGACCATCCTGTGATTTGATGTCTCTTGGTCATCTGAGCTGTTGTCAGTGTGAGGATTACATCCCGGCTGAACTTTACTGAGGAAGTTTGAAGCAAAAATGAATCCATCTCGGTGGTTGTTTGCAGTTTTCCTGACAGTTGGTGCCTCTGAGCTTTGCTGTGCCGGACCTTTCCATGCCCAGTGCAAAGTGGATTGGTATGCTTTTTTCTCTGTTGTACATACTTTATAGATGTGTTATGTTGAGTTTTCGTAACAAAAACTGACGAATATTGCATAATTTCTAATATTGTGGTGAATGTCTAGTTCATTTTGAAATTATTGCCATATTTCTGTCACAATTCTTTCAACTTAATGTGTTTTACTTCCATGAGAACATTTGTAATCATATGTAAAATTATGATAGGGTTAGGGTTAGGGTCAGAAAATCAAAAACAAGTCAAGGTAAAGCCCATCAGAATTCGCTAGAGTTCCTCAAACATACTGAGTGATAAACAGATCCAACTACATGGTGACTATAGTTACTTGTTGCTATTTGTGCAGCCAGTTTGTCCATTGGGTGGCACTACAGGGAAGGCCATGAGGTACAATCTAACTTAATTTAGGATGCAGCCAGCAATATTCACAGCAATCTGCCCATTAGTTGTTAATATTTCCTGTGTGCGGCTGGAAGTTGGGGCCTGCCAAAGGCATTTGAGAATTGCCAGGAAATTTCATCTGATGAGCAGAAAACACAAATAATGATATAATTATAAAGGAAAGACACAAACGGATTCAAGAAAATCAGTATGTCTACAATTCTTTCCTCAATCAACTCTCTGACACATTCTAAACTTCACTACGGTTGGATTTCTTATTGTGTTAGACAGTATTATATTTTAAGTGTATATCAATTTCTATACCAACTGAATATTCTTAGACAATTCTTGTTTTTGGAGTCAGAACAAATCTGTATGCATTTGGGAATATGTTGGAATTGGGAAAGAACATGTGATCTTCTTATCATCTTATTAGCTGTAATTAACTTAACCAGCCAGTCAAACCACAGAGCACGACACTGAGATGCCATTTCTATTGTGAGCGGAAAATCTCCTTCTTCTGAGCTCAATCACGTGACTGAACTACGACAGTTTCTTATTTTTCTCTGAATTTCTATCTTTATTTCAATTGTGTGTGTTTAATACAAATAAAATACAAATAATTACAAAAGAACAATGGAGACATTATGTTTAACACCAAAAAAGGTTAGTACTGTTTTCATCAAAAATAATGCTGTAAAATAAGTCTGCATTTCAAAGGCGTCATTATTAAAACAGCAAAAAGTGATATAATTGAGTCCAAAAACAACAGTGACAGATAGTTTCCACTAGATGGCACCATTTTGTTTACAACCGCAGCTTCAGTTGTTTCTCAGAACCAGAGCTCAGATGAAGGTAAATGCACATTTAGTGACTTGTTTTTCTCATACAGGTACTTTGGGATACCGTGTCTAAAGGTTTATGAGGCCTTGGTCTCACAGATTCAGACGTGGAGAACCATGGCCGGCTGCACCTTGGGAGGACAGAAGTGCCTGTATAAGGTGTGTGTGTGTGTGTGTGTGTGTGTGTGTGTGTGTGTGTGTGTGTGTGTGTGTGTGTGCGTGTGTATGTTTTACTGTACTTATGAGGACAACGTATTAAGAAACAACCTCTTTTGTCAGGACCTTTCTGACATTTGTGTTTTTGACTAAAATATCTGTACAACAAGTCACTAATGGATTTGAAATGGAATGACTTTGGTGATCCACTGACTCTTTCTCTTAATGTTAAAACATTTTGGGAAATATCTCAACATTTTGTGATGCTTTGAATTTTCCTCCAGTGCCAACAGCAAGTTTTTAAGTGATCAAAATAAATCCAAAACTTGATCCCAGTGAAATTAGGTACACATATGAGCAGGAGAATGTGATGCATAACGACTGTGACTCCCTCAGCGTTTGTAGATTGTTGGTCTTGTTGTATTCTTTAAACTTTGTACCCCACCATTTGGTAAATCAGATGTAGCAAATACTTTGTTCTGTGTTTGCTACACTAAAGAAAGTCAATTTAATGAAACAATTAAAGTCTTTAAATATGAATTGTTGTCTTTGCAGCTGCAGTCTGCCTCTGTCCACTTCATTGCAGCCAAACACATCACTCCCTTCAAGAGGTCTGTGGACGACATCAACTTCCGGCTGGTCCCCTTTCACTTCTTCACCTGCTGTCACGTTTCGGTAGGTTTTCTCTCTCAGATTATTTATTATCTTAACGTATCTGAAAACCAAACTAGCAAACTGTTTATCATGATTCCTATAGTCTTCACTTAAAGTTCACTTCTCTCTCCTCATATTCCTTTACCTCTCTTGGTTTGTATTCTCATCTGTTTCCTCTATGTCTCAGCCTGTTTTCCTTTCTTGGTATCTGTCCTTATTCCCATTCCTGCCTGAATCATGATTATGTGCAGCCTTGTTGTTTATTGTAGTTGTGACTTTGTTTGTAGGCTATGTCTGTTTCTGAGACCTGGTACGCCATGAAAGACCACGGCACCAACTACTGCAACCTCTACAACCTCATAGAAGGTAGGTCCATGCACTGGCCAGCAGTATTACTTATTATATATCGGAAAAGGACTTTACACAATATTAGACGCCTCTCGTAACTGTCTGTCTTGTCGTTGGCTGAACAGGAAGCGGTCTGACTGAAGCCAGAGGTTACAGGGAGGTCACCAGTGACTTCCTGTGTACCCAACGCTACTCTGCTAACTGCACGGTCTACTGACAAGAGTACTCACTTACAATTTAGAAGTTTTGATTACATTTTTAATTTTGGATGCCTTTCTTTTTCATTGCCTGCTTTAACTGTTGTATTTGGGGACACATTTTTCTGATAACCTTGTGAATTATACATAATCACTTGATTTAAGTATTATTCAGTTCAATCTAAAAGTATGAATAGAGTAACTAATGATTTATTAATTTGACTCTTTGAATTACAAAGTGCAGGCAGTTTATTCTTATGTAGCAGGAGCATGTAATAAACATAATAAAATGTAATGTTTAAGGGACATCCATTCAAGTTAGGTTTTCTGATTCCTGTACTTTTAAGGTTTTCTGATTCCTGTACTTTTATGAGTTTCTGAACTGTCAAAAACGTGTATCTCTTTTGCTTGTTCTTCAGCCAACTGGATTGGATTGTTATTTTCTAAGCTTTATTGTAGTATTCTCTATTTTGGCAATGTTTTAAACATTTATTTTGTAAAATAAATTGTTCTTATTATTTCCCACCAACGTGTTCAACAATCAAATCAGTCAGTTTTCCTGGTTCATGACCTCCAACTCACCAGATCATATTTCCAAGGCTGTGCTGTGGCTCCTGCCTGTCTAACAGCCAAATAAAGACGGAACCATCATTTTGGTTCTGAAGTCACCGGTTGAGATTTTGATGATGCCCTTTGTCTTTCTTGTTTGTTCTTGGCCTTTGGTAAAAACAAGAGCGAGAAAAGAAAACAGCGCACATCATCAGAGAGCCTCTCGGTGTGAATATAGCTGTGGATACCGCTCAGAGGTGAGTCACAGTCTGACGAGGGGCATCATTCTTTCTGACACCTAAACCAGTTTTCGCTCTTTAAAATGATGGTGGAGTGAGTAGGGCGGAGGGAGCCACCAGGAGAAAATACACCCTTAGCTGCGTGTGGATTGCAGGGCAGCTTTTATTAAGGGAGCAATATGCTCAGCTGGGCTTAGCCATCCATCACTAAGACCTGCACCCCCAACCCCCCCTCCTCACTTTGTGGCTGGAGCACGTGGACTTTGGTGTCTCTTTTCTCAGGGCTGAGCAACTGACTGGCAGGTGAAGTGAAGCAAAAGGGCTCGCAGTGCCTACTGACTTCCAAAAGGTTCTCAATGCATTCTGGAAACACTCTCTAAACATCCAGTCAAATTCTGGTACTGGATCATTCAGGAAATGGTCAGTTCGCTGCTCAGTGAAGCAGGGAACTGTCTGAGGCACACCCAGAGAGAGCAGAGAGAGCACGACTGTGTGGCATTTCACCCGTCTTGTCCCTCAAAATGTCGGCTGGCACCCAACATGAAATTTCAATCAGACGTTTTCTACATTTTCGGTCATTTACTGAGTTTGACTAATGTTCCTAAATTGTTTTGTTCCTCTACTTTAAAAGGTTCCTTTGATAAAACTGAGATCTTTGTCTAATAACTAACTCTGCTCATCAGACTTACATTGGGAGAGGGCAGAAGTAGGTCTGACTTCAAAATAGCTTTGGCTTTCAGAGATCATTTTTAATTGACAGTTTTCTGTCCGGCTGACACGTTTTATCTGCCCCTTCTGTCTCCGCATGTGAATGCATTTCACTCCACCCCAATCTGTCCAATTTGAGGGATACTTTGCATGCGACAGGCATTACTGCGCATGTCAATATTGTTTATTCAAGAGTAAAATGCATACTGTTTCAAAATGTCAGTGGTATTGCTGCATGTGTTTTGTTTGGTTTTTGAGGATGAGGACAGAGAACTGCCCAAAAACGACCCCCCCCCCCATCCACACAAACACTCCCTCCACCTCTCCCCTCTTTCTCTGTCTTTCCATCTCTCTGCCTCACTCTCCACTTCCCTCTGTCTCTCTTTAGTTCAAAGGCTGCCAAATCCTTCCCAAACCAATTAGAGTGTATGTAAGGTCCTCAGGGAGCCCCCGCGGTGACAGTGCAGGGTACGGAGTGGCAAGGGGTCTGAGGAGGCAATCACAGTCTGCAGTATTCAACAATATCAGGGAGGAACAACAATAGCAGGCCATAAATCAGCCCTGGAACAGTGAATAGACATTGACTGTTTGATATGGGAAGACGAGAATAGTGGCTGTTGAAGGAGCAGAACACACACAGAGAAACACAAAACCAGAGGCCACACAGGATGTATACAAGCATGCATGTTCACAAAAATCACTGTGATAAGAGTCTCCAAATTACTATATTCAAGTTTGATATATGTTCATAAGGAAGCTTATTTGCAGGCTTGATTTGTCTATCAGTCAAATGTTAGGGTAAGGGTTAGAGAAATGACTTACAATGAATGCAATGTTATATAATGCAATGGTACAAGAGGTAAAGGTGCTAAGTCACAACACAGCTTACTACATTTTCTTGATTTGAAAGGGTAACACATTTATCAAAGCACTTTGAACCAACTGACAGTCACCTGGCATTGTTAATAAGAAAATTGATGTGACTTAGTTTTACTATACCCAAATAATAATGTAGCGTTCAAAAGTTGTGGGAAGATTTAAATGCTGTTGTTGTCAGAATATCATATTTGTTGGATAGATAAGCGAGAATAGCTTACACTAGTCACTAACTAGGCAAGGCAGATGCTAAATGTTGACTAGCGATCCTTAATCTGTTGAGGGTTGAGTACCATTTTCACCTGTTTGGTTTTTATGCAACATACCAAAAAAAGAAATGGCAACAGAATAACATCTGGCAACAATGTTTACCCTACCCTACCATACCAACTGTGTGTAAGTTAAAAGATGATTAACTGTTGAACTTCCAAAGGTTCATTCCTCCAACAAGAACGCTTCTTCTGGAGGTGTGTTCAGTCAGCGTAAATATAGCTAAATTGTGAAATTGAATATCTGTTCATTATTCAGCGTCTGTTAAGCAGAGGATCTGGATCCAACAGGCTTCCTGCAGCACTGCTCTCTGATCCATCACTCAAGCCTCCACCAGCTCATTAATCCTGACAGAACATGAGCTCAGCAAGGAGGAAGAGAGGGGTGAAGTTCCACTTTGACCCACTGACTGCCTCACAGCAGGATCACTGTACTGTTGGTGTGTGTTCCTGAATGACAGTTCTCCTGTACTAAACATGGAGACGGCTGAAAGCGCTCATAACATGTTTGGAAACACCTAATTTAGTATGCAGATTCCACTAGTACATACATGCTGTGACAGTTTGATGAAGGGCTGTCTCCCTTGAATTAGTTTCATGTGCAACTTTTCCGCATCAGTGATTTATGCTCAGTGACAGCTTTAAGTGTCAATGGAGGATGTAGGGGGACATTAATAAGTAGCAGTGAGATGTGACTGGAGTGTGAATGATCATATAAAACGTTTTCTGTTATGATCATGTTTTATAGTGTTAGATGTCAACATGTTTTCATAATGAACCATGACATTGATCTTTACCTCACCTTAACCTTTTGAAGATGGACGTGGTCTCACCCACTGGTTTCTGGACTTCCGTTTTGAAGCCTTGAGTTTGGCATTTTTCAACGTCCATCTTGGTTTTTAGCTGTCGCCATCTTGGTTTATTGGAGTCAGAAGTCGAACAAAGGAGAGGGTTAAGAAAAGTACAACCAAACACGAACAAATTGTTCAATTTGACTTCCATGAACTAAAACAAAACATTGTGGGGAGGGCTCTAAAAAGAAAACCACATGCAACCCAACAGAAATGTTCAACAGAAAAGTACCTTCAATCAGTAGAGCAGGACAAGGCAAAACAAAAATAACAAAACTCTCTCTAGGAAAATCCAGACACTCCCACAAATGACAACAACTAACAGACGACCAGAACTTAAAAACATGCAAGACTAATCACAAAGACAAGGTGGGGAGGGAAGTGAAAACTCAAAGGCACCAGGTGATCATAATCAGGTAATCAAACAGGAGGGAAAACACAGAGACAGGAAGTAAAAACAGACACGGGGGTTGATGGCTTTTCAAAAATAAAACAGGAAACTGGTGTGACAGATGGTGATAATATAAGGATTGAGTATGAATAAAAAAAATGTATAGGATATACTTGGTTTAGTCATAATACAATGGATCAGACTCAGTTTGATACGTGAAATAAATATCAAGAGTAATCCCCTACTTATCCATATGTACATATGTTTTCAACAATTGCAACATATTTCTGGATGGATGGTCAAATTACATTTTCATCACACTTTCTAATCGTTTTGATTTGTTTTCAAGTTTAGAAAGTGATTGAAGTGATGGTATCAAATCCAATTCAATCACACAAAACAATCTCCCAGTGCCATTACTTTATGCCTCGTTTGATGTTCCCCAAATGACAGCAGAGTGGCCAAATGAATCACAGGCCGAGCACCTGCTCAGGATAATGACATTTGTCCTCATTAGGATGCTCCGTACCTCCTTATCCCCACCCGCTCCACATATCCAATCATTCTTTCATTTGGCAAGTAAGTGATACCACCTCCTCCAGTTCTGCTGAAGCTTTGATGAAATACCTGTGTTTTACTCAATCGCTCCCTTACACAGATGATTTAATTTAGTATGGTCAGTAATAGCCAGGGAAGTAATAATTACATTCAAATATTAATCTGTGTTGTCCAGACAAAGCGATGAATCAAAAGCCTTGACTTGTTCTCATCCCATAGTCCCTCCTCCTGTCTGATTGCCTCCACACACCCCCTGCCCCCTGCCCCCCCCCCCCCCCCCCCCCCCGCCTGAGCCGCCCAGCAGAACAATGACAAATTATTCTAATACCCTTTCACATCAAAGAGGGTTGGATTTGAGGCGGGGCTTCGAACAACAATGTCTAGCGGGTGTGGAAATTAGTGGAGGGAGGGGTGGCCGAAACCAATATAATCAGACGGTGTGTGTGTGTGTGTGTGTGTGTGTGTGTGTGTGTGTGTGTGTGTGTGTGTGTGTGTGTGTGTGTGTGTGTGTGTGTGTGTGTGTGTGTGTGTGTGTGTGTGTGTGTGTGTGAGACCTGATAGCAGTCCTCTCCATGGCGTCGGCAGAGTCAGGGACAGGCAGCTCGTCGGCCAGGATCTCCTCAGAGCTGCGCGGGTCGATCCCGATCCCTTTGGGTTCAGTGGAGCCGGCGTGTGTATGTGTGTGTGTGTGTGTGTGTGTGTGTGCCAATTACAAAGAGCTGCAATGTCAAATCATAGTGTTTAAAAAATTGCAAAAAAATCATCAAACATACATCAAACTTGATCAGGTGGCAAA